ATTATTTGGTTGCATAGAACTGAAACCTATTAAGATTTAAAACTATGCATTTGAACACCCTTTTAAAGCAAATATAAGAATTAGACTCAAGAGGTGATGATTCTTGCCTAAAGCGCAATGCACAGTTGGCCGGGTCATTCTACTCAAAAGCCGCAAACAAAATATTGACCCAGTTTCAAGCAAAACTTGAAAACACTTGAGCGAGAAAGGAAAACTATATCTGCGACCAGGTAAGTCAGTTTAAGTTCTCTGGGTAAACGTCACATGATCAGCTGCCATAACTAAGAACAGATTTTCGAATCTAACTTTCCTGTAATGACACCCTAAGCTTCGTCTACATCTATTTTGCCAGGAGAGAGATGGAGAGATGGAGTTTTTTTTTTCCTCCAGTTGATCTCAAGAGAAAGATGAGGGGCTTTCGCCGAACATGCAGGTTTTCCTTTGCTCCGTACTCCGATGAAAAAATTTACCTGCCATCTGATCGTTGATAGTTGACTCATGCTGCGAATGGTTATAATTTCACAAACTATCTTTGTTTTAAGACTCACTTTGGATTTTAAGTTATTTCTTTTGATTGTAATAATAAGCATTTTAAGTATTTACTCGTCGCACAAATCTCTCTTATCGCCCTTATGAAAACTGAGTAAGTTCTTGAATAAGCTTTTTTGGATAGCTACCCCTTGTCTTAATTATTTATGCAATAGAAAATGTAAATCACTATTTTTGACAGTTGACGACATTTCGCTCATAACGGATTTCGTAGTTACGACCTCCATCAAGAGCCAGTTCGCATCTTCATATTGATATTGAGTTGCTTGCGGAAAAAAACCCAAGGATCGCAGTCTATTAGTAATTAATGAAAAACATTGAACTAAGTAAGACTTGTAAGACGGTTTTTCCCGTGTGGAACTTCGATCTTTAGCTACATGAGCTCTCGCAGGCTCTATGTGGAAAAATGTATAGCGTTCTGACTTTTCGTTTTGCAGCTGAATGATTTCGCCGAGGAAAGCTTTAAGTCGTGCATATCAACGCGACGCTAAAACTAAATGGGAGATATCACCTCCACCTCCACAACCTCTGTTCGCCGTTGTTCGCTCCTGTCTCTTTCAGGAATTGATGACTCTTTTCTCCGAGGCATATGAAATTCAAGCTAGCAAAAATATACAGAACAACCGGGACCACAAAAAAGCCAGATACAAGCTAGTTTTTTCAATAACGATCAAAATTAAACGCGCGATTTTCTGATCGCACGCCCATGGAAAGGAGTTTATACAAATGTACAAATGTCTTCCCAGTGTGGTGCAGAGTTTCAAAACAGTTTTTAAAAAAGTTATCATGAGTCATAGGTATAAATTCTCTCACTTCATTCTCCCTTGTGATATAAATATCTTACTTTTCAGCTTTGCCAAAGTGCGCAAATCTAAAGAATTCTGCACCACAAAGGTGTCTTAGTTCCATTTGTCGGTCCCTCCCGCTGCATGAACTTGAGCCCGCCAGGGAGGCGAGAGCAGCGGTATAGGCCACCTTGCTCACGGCGCGTTCAAATTGATTACTGTGACCCCACCCCCACCCCTACCAGGTACGCCCCTGCCCACCCCTCAAACACACCTACCCAAACACTTATCTTTGCTTTGTTTATGCTGATCTATTGAGAGCAGGCTTAACTGGTTTCCGTAAAAACCACACGCGACGAGATCAATTTTCCCTTCGTTTTTTCAATAACTACTGCTGCAATCTTAGCCCAAGCACTGCGAAACTTAAAGATTTTCAAGCCTAAAAGGAAAGTCATAACTCCGACCAAGTAAGTCAGTTTAAGTTCTCGAGGTAAAAAACACATGATCAATTGCCATAACAAAGATCAGACTTAAATATTACATAAGCAGTCTATAAATCCGCTCTAAGCGTCGACAGTTCTTTCCCTCCTACGGGAAAACATCTTTCTTCTTTTCTTTTTTCTTATCACTCCAAAGTAAGAAGAGAGATCTTCTCCTAGCTTTCAGTTCTTTTTCTTTTTTTATCTTGTTGATGGTATTTCATCGTTTTGTTTCAGCTGGAATTTAACCGGCAATCATTTATCGAACTGAAAATTATTCAGACTTCCGAAAGTCATGTGTCAAATGAGATGTTCGTAGCAGATATTCACGTTAGCAGAGAGATCTTGGCCTAACTTGCAGTTCTTGTACTCTGTGCTTTGATATCAAAATTTACCTGCCATCTGACTTATATGATCTAGCCGAATTTTCCTAGATGATGCATCATTAAGTGGCATCGCACCGAAACTTATCCAAACTTGAAACTCTATGTTAGGCTAGACAATCACAGTTGCTATGGAATCCTTTTTTAAGGAACCGTTCCATAAAAATTGGACCCAAGAAATGAACTTCCAGGATCTTGCATAAAACGCTTTTTGCGGCTGGTTGATTTCCGGCACGATGATTGACTGATACTGCGAATAGTTTTAAAATCGCAAACAGTATTTGTTTTAAGATTTTCTACCTAGATTAAGACATTCTTGTTCTGATTATTCTAAATATGAGGGTTTTTTTTTCATTATTATCCATCTACAAATTAAGCTCGTAAACATCGTAAATAAGGTAAATAATAACCATAAATTCCCTTGCTGACATAATAAAATATGTAAATGCTGTCGGCGACAGACGGCATCTCGTATGCCAAAAATTTTTCGAGAAGACTTACATCAAGAGGTCGCATTCCATCTCGCCTTACTCAGAGAAACTTCTGTGAAAAAGCATGGAGATATCATGTCCCAACTTAAACACATCCATAAGATGACATAGACCTCATCAAATCCATTGGAGCTACTTGCAGGGCTCAAGTATTCTCAGCAACGAGAAATTGCGTGCACCCTGCTGCTTTTTTGTATGCGTTCATATGATAGACTGAATTTTTAAACGCATTTTGACTGGTTCTTAATTGCAATCTATAGGAGGAAAGACATAATGACTTTTTTTACCATCAGCTTTTCTTTTATTCTGTTATGTAATACATATAGATTCTAGGTTGGCGTGCGTCCGTTGAATAAGTTGCAAAAGAATTTCAAAGACCGGAAAGAACAACGGTGACACACTTGGCTGCGCCGCTTTTGTATGTTCATGGCATATTTTGACGTTATCTGTAGACTATTGCTGAAAAAATGCATCGAGACATGTACTATAGCTCTTATTTCTTACACATGTCAAGGATGGTTTCGAAAACCTTGACCTCAACTTTCAATCAGATGAGTGAATACTTTAGAGATTGTTGTGGTTTGCAAGATATCTGTTGATACTTACCATAGAGAGCTTTTTTCACTAAAGGTCATCGCATTGGCCACCTCTACGCGATTCGGAATGAAGAGAATCTACATCAAGAGAGTGATTTCCATTTGCCGGTCTTTTTCTGTGCAGTGATGCGAGCTCGCTTATACACAAAGAGAACAGTGGTATATGCCGCTTCACTTAAAGCGCCTTGGAATTGTAATGAACCCCCCTAAAAGTAAGCTCCTGTCCACCCCTAAAACACTCCCACCTACACACGTTTCTAACCGTTCATTTTTCCGCTCTTATGTTTCCCTTGTTTTATTGATATTGCTAATTAAGTATATCAAGTGTAAAATACAAAAATAATTCATCGTAACCACACACGATGGAGGTGCAAGCAATTATCTCTTGGCTTCGGGCGTTTCACAAAACTCATTATCTGAGCTGCAGTCTTAACCCAATCCCTGAAGAGCCTCACGATACTCGAGCCAGAAAAAAATACGTGGCTCCAATTAATCTAGAGTGTCAATTCCAGTTCTCCAGGTAAAGGTAACATGATGTACTGTCACCAAGTATAAGTAGGTCAGATTTAAGAATTACGTGACTAGTCTGTAAATATGTGCTTAGCGTCGCAGGCAACACGCCTCCTAAGGGAGGACATGATTTCGTTTTTTACCTTAGATCTTAGCTTTCATTTCAGCCTTTTACTCTGTTCTCTAATGCCAAATTTACCTGCCATCTAATCATTTTACCATAGCCGAACGTTTCATGCTGATTATTTGGTGGCATAGAACTGAAACCTATTAAGATTTAAAACTATGCGTTTGAACACTCTTTTAAAGCAAATATAAGAATTAGACTAAAGAGGTGAGGTTTCTTGCCTAAAGCGCGTTGCACAGTTGGCCGGGTCATTCTACTCAAAAGCCGCAGACTACCTTAATAACTTTTATTAATGATGACTGTCTGATATTGCGAATAGTTCTGAATTTAAAGTATTTGTTTTTGGATAAACAGTATTTGTTTTAAGATCTACTTTTGATATTCAGATATTTTTGTTTCAATTTTTCTAATTAGCATTTCCTCAATAAAGCATTTATAGGGAGTGCCAATCTCTCTTATACTTCTGAAATATAAGCTTGTAGATTAATTTTTCTAGTTGAATACCCATTCTCTTGTGGATGCAGTAGAATATGTAAATGTTATCGGAAAATGGCGACAATTCAGCTTTAAAGACCTCCATCAAGAAGGTAATTCATCTCACTTTTCGGAGTAAAACATCTGTGAAAAAGCAATATGGCGGAGGCAGATACTCTCTTCCAAATTGAACACATCCACAACGTGACGTGGACCTCGCCCGGTGCATTGCAGCTCTCCATTCATGACACCTTCAACGTGCGTCTCCCCACCACGGTCTTTTTATCGTTGTATTTATGTTGAAACGTGAATTATATACGTACTTATATCATTTTGTTCTTATGATACATTTGGGAACAGACTTATAGATATCCCCTCAAATTTACCTCTTTGTTTATTCCATGTTGCCATGTAAGAGATCAGTAACATATCAAAGAGGATCTGGAAATATGGTAAGAACGTCGGTCACACACTGGGCTGCACCTCGTGTGCCTCTTCTTAGTTCTAACCACATCTTGACACCATCTGTAGCTAGAAATATTGAGCCAACGCATGGTATCGTGGAATCTATTTGTTGATTGGTTACATCTGATCTTTTTCTTTTTAGTTTTCATTTTAACCAGGGATCAGACCATAAATTATAATGTTTGGAAAAACTTTATCTCGACTTTTTCACTAGCTTAGTAGCGTTTAGTACAATCATTCTCGTTGGCAAGATATCTACTGATATCGGAAAAAAGAGAGTTTTCTTTACCAGAGACCATTGGTTGTAGCAACTTCTGTTAATTTCGTAGCTAGCTATTTTCAGCCATGTTCAACTGTCGATTTCTCTCGCGATCGACGCTTCTATGCATAAGAACCAGTCTTTTAAGTGCAGCCCACATCTTTGAATGGTTCTCTAAGTTTTATTTCCTTATTAACCAAAGTCTATCAGAACAAAGCTAATTATGGTAACTAAGGAGACTGCCTAAAGGGCGGGAAATGCAAATGACCAAGTTTTGAATCTGATGGATTGAAAAAGTGAAGCGATTTTTTTGGGCCAATTACTGAGCAAAGTAAAGCAAAACCAAACTAATGCTGTTTTTACCCAAGAGATCATTAGATTCATAATTGTCTTGCTCTGTTTCAGTCAAAGCTAAATATGCTGTCATTAAAGGACCGTGCAAACTGGACAGGAGCTCAGGCCAGAAGTCAGTTTCGACGGAATTTTTTCCCGCGAGAACAGACCAATGGCATGTCAGCTGGTTTTACGCAAGCTAGTGTTCATATCATTCCTTCGTCCGCAGCAGATCATTTCCATGAATTTTGCAAAATGAACCATGCCGCTCTCCCTTTGGTGTACCGGACAAAGCCAGGGGAAGTGTCAGCCCTACCCTTAGCTGCAGATCTCGACATTCGGTAATAAAAGAGGACAAACCGAGGGGTTTGTTTATAAAAAAAAAAAGGGAAATTTAAAGAGGATCACTCTCTATCAAAGCTACGCGATTGACAATAAAAAAAAGTAAACAATTAAACTTGAAATGAGACCCTCTAACAAAAAAATATCAGGTTGGAAGGAATGCAAAACACGAAACATTACTTCTAGTCGTTAAATTTTTTGAGAAAGAGAGCTAGTCGAAATCGTATTTTTTTTTGCCCTGGATGGTAACCACGAAGTAAGGCAGGTCCTGAATGGGTGTTACTTTTGTCGGTGGCTAGCTCTTTTAGCGGGTATCCGCGGGTTTCGCCCATAACGAGTTTCGCCCAAGAAGCGTTTCGCCCATAACGAGAATGGTTTCGCCCAGGCATAAATTCGATTCGTGCGGCGTGCGGATCTTAACTTCCGTGTACAAAAGATTTGCAACGATGATATGTTCCACGCGCAGGTGTTTTCAAAAGCGTTTAATTTAATTCTCGAGAATAAAAGTGATGCAAAAAAATCATAGCAATGCTTTTACGACAAACGGACGTCTCTGCAGTATTTCGTGCGCGAATTACCTTAACAATCCCCGCTCCACAGTGAAAGCTATAATTGACTTGTTCGTTTCAACAGTAACTTGTTCGTTTCAAAATTTCATGATCTCAGGTCAAGTCACTTTTCTTCATTCTGTGCATACAAACGTTTATAAGGTTGACGTTTTCCGAGTGAGAGTGTAGAAGTTTTACTTATGGGCGAAACCATTCTCGTTCTGGGCGAAACGATATGTGCGAAACTCGTTATGGGCGAAACCCGCTATAACCTTTTAGCGCGTTATAGTCAGCTGGAAATTGCTAAAAAAATGGGTTCTCTTAGCTTTCAAACTTTATTTCGCGGCCACTAAAATAGACATTCTCTATGTCATTCTGTATTTCTTTTCTAATGTCGAAATGTTACACAAAGTATTATCAGTTTCACCAAGCCTTTACCCCAGTTCTGATTTCTCTAGACAAACACATCAGCAGCTAGAACTGCTTTCGATTTCCATATCAAGCCGGCTGAAACGTTCATCAATTCTTTTCTTACAGCACAGATCAGTCAGCATATGGGATATACGAAAATGGGGTCTGCACTAAAACCGTAACCGACCTACTAGATATACCCTTTGATGACTTCGTTACATTTTACATCGGCTCCAGTAGCTCGTTCGAGCTTGCGCTACAGGACGCTGGTCTTCCCGTTCGGCAACTAGAAAGCGGAAGAAAAGCACCTACTTACCAAACAAGGGTCTTGACAGTAAAGTCAGGTCCTTTCTCAGGTACCGTTGGCATGTCACTGCGTCCAATGCCCCGGAACTTAGTAGAGAGGGCTGCCCAGGTGACTGCTGTCTTGGACAAAGTGCATGGAGCCCCAATACATATTGGTCATCCTTCCTGGATCGGAGTGGAGGATCTGCAAAATCCAGAATTTGACGACAAACCGTACATGAAAGAAGGAGATGTCTGCATGTTCTGGGCTTGTGGAGTCACGGCCGCGACAGCGATAGTGAATGCAAGTAGGTGGCCAAAAATATTCCTTCATTACCAACCTCTGGATGTGGTGGATGCGCTTTTTAGATTAAAATACTAAAAGGCTGGCATCAATTCCTATTCCCCCTTTATACGTTCTAGGATTACTAATTAAAGATGCGTCTCTCATCCAAGTTTTTTTTGTTGTTGGTTTTTTTGTTTTCCTTTTAGGATTACCCTTGGCAATAAGTGTCAGCCAAAGTGAAATAGCCTGTAACTTCATTACTGATCTAAACAACGAAGAATTTAACAAGGTGAACGTACCCAAGTGGCTCGAATCCATGCAAACTAAAGCCGTCTTCATATCTGAAAACCCAGTGTTTTGTTCGTTAATTTCTGACAAAGCATTAGAACTGATTCGACAGCTGGAGAAACAGAGGAGACAGGAGAAAATAACACCCACGGACGAAATGCCTGAAGCTCTCGCTAAAGCAGCTCTCAGACTCAGCCACGCATGTTCTGTTGCCATAGTTACGCTAAACCTGACTACTACTAGAGAAAGTCTCAGTGTGCTGTCAACCATTAAGTCTCTTTTGACGAGCGAGTCTAAAGAAGTCACATTGATCGTCCCAGAGGAAAAGCAAGTGGAGTGGAGAAATTTGATCGACCGTTGTGTCGAGTTAAAGTTACTGAAAAAGTCAGTTGCCGTGAACAAAATTGAAGCAAGAAAAGGAAGCTCGAAGGATGATATCTCGCAAATTTCGCGTCAAGTGCTATCGGCCATGGAATGTTCCACACAGGACGATGTTCTTCCTCGCAAGTTTACTGCACTGATCAGTTTCAGCCAAGAAGGTATGAAAGCGCCACAGAACAGTTCTCTCTCTCTCTCTCTCTCTCTCTCTCTCTTTCAAAGTCTTAACCATGCTCGTATGAGGAGGGGAGGCTAAGGTGAAGGAATCTTCTTAGCAATGCTCGTATGTGGAGGGGAGGCTAAAGTGAAGGAATCCTCTTAGCCATGCTTGTACGCGGAGGGGAAGCTAAGGTGAAGGAATTCTCTTAGCCATGCTCATATCTGGAGGGGAGGCTGAGGTGTGGGTGCCCTACCCTCTGATGCAAAAAACGAAGATGTGGAGTTTCATGGCACATCTGAATAGCACGGATTGCGTCATTCTATGAGATATTCATGTTAATAGTGATACCTTGTCAGTGCATGCAATAACCACTTTTTAAGTTGAATAGAGAAACGCTTATTCATAAGGTCGCGCTCCGATTTTTTAGAAGAACGCACTTGTGATGAATTGCTTGGGAAAGTAATGTCTATTTGCAATCAAATTTTTTAATTTAATCCGACCCATGTCCAACTTTTTTCTCAGGAGGTTCAGTATGGGTGGATAGCGGAGCTGAACGAATAATAAGTAACGATGTCGGTAAAACCTTCTATTGTTCTTGGCCTGGTGAAGTCATAGCAGCAGCATTGTACATACTGAATTGCTGTCCAGTGCACTCCCGTTATCTGAGAAAAGGCTCTGGGTTATACCAGCCTTTACAGCAGAGCGAGTATCTGATGGGCCCTGAAGAGGTCAGTAAGTTTTATCATTTTTTTTCTTCTTCTTCATCCTCTTCCTCTCTCCTATACAATTTTGGTAGCTCAATAATGTATATTTCTATCAAAAGAACTGAACTGAAATTCATGCTGGTCGTTGCGACACGCCTCATTGTCAGCCTTCCTCCTTCCCTCCCTCCCCTCCCCCCCACACAAACAGCTGCCTTGTCGTCTGACAACCTCTTGAGGTACATCGCAAATAGACTAAACGCTAGCAAATATCCTCGGGTTATAAATCTTCTCCACTTGACCCTTTTTAGGTTATTAGTCCTTGCAGACGCCCAAATGAGTAGATGGGTGAAAACAGTAGAATATTCGGAAGGAATCCTGTCCGGTTATTCTTCCTTCTTCCCCCCGCCCCTCCCGCTTATTTGTTCGTCTCCACATTTTCAAAGTGAGTGCCTATAACAGGCTATTCGTCAATTTGATTAATGGTTAAAACATCCCTTTGGTCCGTTTGACAAGTGTAACAAATAGAAACAAGGTCACTTGATGCTACTTGCACGGTAACGGCACTCAGCTGTGGCACTTTTAAGAACATCATGAGATGTTCGGAGACTCCTGACAACCAGAAATAGCTTGTTAACTCACTACCGCTTTTTTCCTTTCTAATAGCTTGGAACACTGATGTCGAACTCTAATGTAAAGTTCAGCGCTGAAAAAGTGGAAGACCTCATAAACAAAACCAGCAACTCAGTGTTAAACGCCATGATTTGTTTAAACGGCGAGGCGTAAATTCAGGCAGTTGATATATAGTACACAGGGATTCTTGTACATTGTTTGGTTTAGATTTAAATAGTTTAGTTACTGACTCAGTAATTGGTTTAATTACGTTGAGTCCAACCCGTAACACCCTGGGAATGACTCAGTATCACTGCTGAATCAATCACTAATGATTCCCACCCAATGAAGCCTTTGGTCGATGGTTAAAAAAAGTAGCCCTACCGTTCAAATATTTTAGGGAGTAGGCTTCTCCTACCAAATTAGAGAAGAAGTATGCTTCAGAAACCACATGATTTATATCTCCATTGCTAAAAGTATTCATGAAAATTAAGTGCTCATCGCAATTTAAGATTTCCAAAGATTGGCTCATCATTCAAAAATTATCCTCAACTATGCCCATCTCTGAACAGTTGACGCCGCCATATGGAAAACAACGTTAACTCTATAACTTAATTACGTCCGCACGATGTCACAGAATCAGTTCACAAACAGCTACTGCTTTTTTGATTGTCAAGAATGTCTTTTGAGAAGCTCCTGATTTTTAAAAGAAAGCGTCAAGTGACTGACTAGCGCAGAACGAGACTAGCACAAGTCAGCAGCGAGGTTACACAACAAGATTTAAAATGGCGGACATCAGAGGGGAATTTTTGACACATTTTGCGGGTCAGTGTCGTAATTTCATTAACAGTTTTTATTAATGGAGATATGTGTTATGCAGTTTTGGAAGCACACTTCTTTAAGTCGGGTGTAGTTTAGTTTCGGGTGTGAACTTACTACTATTCAGTTTAGTTCAGTTTAGTTTTAGACTTCAGATTAGTTTAGTTGCGTTTAATACAGTTCAGTCTGGATTGTTTAATAAGATATCACAGTAAGCTGAGAATTAGAATGTTGCTAGCAAGATGTAGTCATGATTTTTGTATGTGCATTGTTGTCCACAAGTTTGGATAGAACGTGCGCTGCAAACACTGTTTTCTTTGTAATTTTAAAAAGCGTTTTTTCATCTTGATAAGATCTCAAGAATTGATTTAACTAGAATAATAAGTGGGAAGGAATAAAAGTGGTATTGATACTATTTTGATGTTGGTGTTATGTTCGTGTGATGTGCCCGATCTTCTACGCAGACCAGACGTAACGCAAGGCTTTTCTAGAATATAAAGAGCGTGACATTCAGCGTAGCGTGACACTCAAGGATACAAGAACATTAGGAAAAAACGCTGATTTACAGTGAGCATGTTAATCACTGTATATATCAGAAACCGCGGTGATCGATAGTTTAATCTAAATTTATTTTAGAGACGCCTTTCAGGAGCCCGTTTTGTAAAATTCACATAGGGTCATAGTTGTGTCCACGTGCAAAGTATCTGGAGGAAACATTTGAGTCATTTGACCTAATAAGAGGTCAGTTAATTTTATTACTTTTCTTCTTCTTCTTCTTCTTCTTCTTCTTCTTCTTCTTCTTCTTCTTCTTCTTCTTCTTCTTCTTCTTCTTCTTTCTCTTCCTCTCCTATTTAATTTGGTTGCTCAATAATGCCTATTTTTATCAAAAGAAGTGAACTGACATTCATGCTGGCCGTTGCGACACGCCTCATCGTTAGCCTTCCTCCCCCGCTCCCTTCCCCCCATACAAACAGCTCCTTTGTCGTCTGACAACCTCTTGAGGTACATCACAAATAGACTAAACGCTAACAAATATCCTCGGGATATAAATCTTTTCCACTTGACCCTTTTTTATGTTGTTAGTCCTTGCAGACGAAAAAGCGAGTAAATGGGTGAAAACAGCAGAATTTTCAGAAGGATTCCCGTCTGGTTTTTTTCCCTCCCCTCGCTTCTCCTGCTTATTCGTTCGTCTCCACATACACAAAGTGAGTGCCTACAACAGGCTATTCGTCAATTGAATAATGGTTAAAACATCCCTTTGGTCCGTTTGACAAGTGCAACTAATCGAAAGAGGGTCACTTGATGCTACTTGCTTGGTAACGGCACTCATCTGAGGCACGCTTGTTAACTCACTATCACTTGTTCTTCTTTTAACAGCTTGGAACACTGATGTCAAACTTAGAAATAAAGTTCAGCGCTGAAAAAGTGGAAGACCTCGTAGACAAAACCAGCAACTCAGTGTTAAACGCCATGAGTTGTTTAAACGGCGAGGCGTAAATTCAGGCGGTTGATATATAGTACACAGGTCTTCCTGTACATTGTTTGGTTTGGATTTAAATAGTTTAGTTACACCAAGAAGCTAGTTTACTAACGTTGAGTTTAACCCTCAACAACTTGAGAGTGACTGGCAACTTATTATTCCTTTCAGTATCACCGTTGAATCGAACATTAAGGTCACGAGAATGAAAGAAACGATTCCCATCGAATGAAGCCTTTGATAGATGGTTAAAAAATTAAACCGTTAAACATTTTAGGGAGCAGGCTTCTCCTGCCAAATTAGAGAAAAAGTATGCTCCAGAAACCATATTATCTATATCTCCACTGCGAAGATTGTCCATGAAAATTAACTCCTCATCGCAGTTTAAGATTTCCAAAGATTGGTTCATCTTTCAAAAATTATCCTCAACTATGCCCATCTCCGAACAATTGACGCCGCCATGTTGAAAACAACGTTAACTCTTTATCCTAACTACGTCTGCACTGCTTTGTTGATTGCAAAGTCCAGAGGTTACACAACAAGATTTAAAATGGCCGTCATCAGAAGCGAATTTTTGGCGCATTTCGCGGGTCAGTGTCGTAATTTCATCATTAATGGAGATAAATGTAATGAAGTTTCGGAAGCACACTTCCTTGAGTCGGGTGTCGTTTAGTTACAGGGTTTGAACTGATTACCATCCAGTTTAGTTTAGTTTTAGACTACAGATTAGTTTAGTTGCGCTTAGTTCAGTTCAATCTATACAGACGTAACGCAAGGTGACTACAAGAGCGTGACCTTCAGCGTTGCGTGATACTCAAGAATACAAGAACATGAGTAAACACACTGATTTATGGCAAGCATGTGATACACTGGATATATCAGAAACCAGTTTTAGTCAAAGTTTTATCCAAATTTTTCTGGAGACGCCTTTTCAGGAGCCCGCGTTGTAAAATTCCCATGGGGTCATAGTTGTGTCTACTTACAAAGCATCTGGAGGAAACATGTAAGTCATTTGACCTGATAGTAATCGCTTTATTTATCAATTGTTCATTCAACAGTGGTGGTACTGGCGGCGAAATAGCGAATGGCATCCATAGATAATGTTGATCTGAAAGTTAACCGGCTTAATAGAGGGGGAAAAACACGTCTTCTTTGTGGACACCTATCCTATACATGAAATTTTGTTTCATTTTTTTTAGTAGAGAAAAGATGTCCTCCAACTGACACTCTCCTTTGTTGTTACTTAGTATTCTATTTCGCAAATTTTTTTTTTTTTTTTTTTTTCTAAGTTCAGTCTTCCAAAAATCACAAATATGGGAGCAATGTAACGTAAACCCGCAAAATATTTCACGTCATGGGAAAGCTATGCGAAAAGTACTAAAAGAGAGCTCAATACAGTTGGGCTTTGGGCGATGAACGGTAAACAATGGAACCTAAAATTATTTGGCGTGCGATTCGTACACTGGAATATCATTCTATTCATATACAGTAAAATTTCAATTGTTCAATAGCTAAAACCCCACACAGTGTACCTGCTGAATGATGTAGATAACGCGTTCTAACTTTTAATGACTTTCTAGGGGCGATTATAAAAGAGTATAAACTAAGATAACAAGATTACCTGTTCAAGCCTCGAACTCGCATCATCTTTAGTGTGGGATATATGATATGTAAAAAAATCTCATACGGAACACGGGGGTGGGAATATTTCAGGCAGGTACAGAAAGCACATGGTTGATGCTCCGAGGCACATCTATAATATGATGCCCCTTCTTGCTGAAGAAGAAATAATACATTGTGGATGAAACGGGTGACCTGACCCCCTTCAATATTTTTGAAATTAGAAGCTGGGGCCTTTTCTCAATTTTGCGAGAGGGGGTCAAAGCTCTCTTTCACAGATTACTCATCTCCACGTGTGTTGGACCTCTTTGTATTGTTTCTGCTAAAAGTCATGTTGATCAGTTACAGCTTTACAAATCGGTGAATAATTACAAAGTTGCAAGGTGTACGTATTTTTTGAGGTGTGCAATATTTTAATATTTATGAAGTTGGTTCGAGTGAGGTAACGGTATTGGTCAATATTTTTACGCACCAAAAATAACCTGTTCTGAAACCGAAAAATTACATCTTCAAGCTTCAACTGCGTTGCATTTAAATGATGAAATTGATGATGGAACTTAGAGTTTTAAGAAGGAGTACTTTTTTAGTGAATAACTGTGTAATATTACATCCGCATCCATCCGCCTACGAGAAGCATTATGAAGTGCCCATCATTCCTAGCGTATTTTATTTAGTGCCCGGCCCGCCGTGACACATCACCAAAGTTGCTGTCCCGCCGTCAGGCTGAGAGGATATTATACTCTTTGAGTAAGTTTCGCTTTGGACGGGAAATAGACCGTTCCCTAAAAGGCAGGTATCCAATTGATAATACCAGTTATCCTTGTTATAACCTTCTGTTATGAGGAGAAGTTTTGATTTCAGCCTGCAGGCAAGTTTGATAAGCTCATCAAGAATATGGACGCGTATTGTAGGCAGCCAAGGAGACATCGCTAGTACAACAAGAAAGAGATTTTCGATAAGAGTCGTTAACAGCTCGCTTCAAGGTGCCAAAAAAACACTTGTTATCGCCTGGTGTATGAAATATTTCGATTAAGGTACTCCGGTGGTTTTCTTTTCATTATTTCCTTGTTTATATGCCAACAAACCTGAAGGCTGCGATATAAGCGTTTGTGTGTTTAGGAATGCGTGTAATGTAGTCACTCATATTTCCGGGCATTAGACTCTCGATTTAAATGCTACGGAGTAAGGCGCATCCTAATCGATCACTCTAAGGTAAGGCCATTAGACGCTTTTCGTAAAGGTTCATTAACTTTTTAATTTGAGGCAAACGAATGGGGGATTTAAAGCTCGCTGCATGGGATATTTTGTGAGCAATTTACCGTTTCAATTTGATCTACAACATTTAGTGCTGTCTGTTTCAAGAATTTAATTTCTTGTGGATGATCCGTAGGTTTCTTCGCTCCATTCTGGCGAGGAAGGTTAAAATTTGACGTAATTGAATTCTTATTTATTGTAAATGAATGCGTGGGAATATTGAGTTATTTCTCCCACGGCAGGAATAGTTACTCTATTGCGGTCACAGGTCATTTAAAACGCTGGCACTTCATAATGATACTGACTAATCAAAACAGACGAAAGGTCATCTACCAAGTCAGATCAATACCAGTGCTATTCAAAAGACGATATAAACAAAACTACAGTGTAATTTTTTAAAATAAAAAGCTCCTACTTAAAAGTGATTACAATAATTATTAAGTGCCTCATTACTTACGGTTGGGCCAAATGTAAATGCTGGCTAATTATAGACAGGTAGTTTTGACTTTCATTTTACAAAATTTAACGATGTCAGGCAGTTTTTTACAGCCTTTCTTTCCGTAATAAGCCTTTACACTGGAAATAAAATTATAGCAAGTCAGATTTGTAAACTATTCATGTAATGTATGCGCGACCAGCACTTATCATTAGAACTAGAATTTGTGAACCTTTTAATTTAAAGTACAATGTGCATGTCCTCTAAAGGTCACCTAAAGATGTCTGAAAAGATAGAGCCAATTTACCCATTTTCTCATAATTTTCAAACAGTTATCATTAAAGATCCCAAAATATTGCAAAACATCTTCTCTGCAGTGACACAATATAGTACAGAATTCAGGGCCATATGCATTTGCCATTATATCTTGGTTTCACAATGGTGTCTGTAATTATGTTATCTTTGGTTGGTAGTATAAATTAACACAAATAAGGTGGATCTCATTGACCTTGTATTTTGTGTGGTTTTTCTGCCTGTTTTTGATTTAATTTGTATCAGTATTTCAGCACATAAACAGATGGAGTAAAAAGTTTCTGGCACCCACAAATATTAGATACCTGCTTCTTGCTTTCAAGTAATAAATATTATCATTTAGTTAAAGTGAAAGTTGTAAGAGAGGGAGGTCCACAGTGTACTTGTGAGTGATAGCTTGGAAAACTTCCTAAAGTTCTAGACTGGACTTTGTGCCTTCTGTGGAAATATAATTCACTGTTTTCCTTTATGTTTATTTTTCAATAATAGGGACAGTTTTTGCTTGTGCATACAAGTGTCTTGAGTGATGCATTTGGAGCTGTAAGGAAAAAGAAAATGTCTACTGCTGAGTCAGAACAGGATAAACAGCCTTTTAGTGCTATTAATGATGCAGTTCCTTCTGGAAAAGATGAATCAGGTGATTCACCCACAGAAGTGACAAAGAGTGCATTTGAAACAGAAACCAAGCCTGTTGACTCAACTGTCACTGAAGCAGAGTCAGCAAAGAATGGTGATGAAGAAAAAACAGAAACTGAAGCACAGAACCCTGAAGTTGTTATTAATGGTGATTTGAGTAAAAGCCATGAAAATGTCTCATCTTTAACTAACGAATCAAATGAAACTAATCAAAAATCTACACAAATCAAAGAGGTTTTCAATGGGGTAGAAACTAGTGATGAAAATTGCACAACAAAGGATGTAAAGAATGAAGGGAAACCTGCGGAGACAATTGAACTTGATAAAGGCCAAGAAAAAGTAGAGAATGTTCCAGTGAAAGTGGAAGATGCTGTTCCTGAGAGTAAAAGAGATGAAGAAGCTGGAGTTCAAGAAAGTGTGGAACAAAATGAAAATCAGCCTTCAGAAGAAAGCACTGTTGCTGTAACAGGTAAAAGCTTATGCTAGTATATTCACCTAATTGCAATACCATTGTCATATGAAAAGTAAAGCAAAAGAATGAAGACAGGCCAAATAGGAAATGTATTAATGTATAAAACTACCCCTTGGCTTAATGCACAGCAGCTGAACAATTTTCACAGAATTTCCACAGAAAACTTCATCAAACTTTGTGAGAGTTGAGGTGTTATTTCGAGATTACAAGTGATTCCAAAAATTAAAAAAGAGAAATTCCAGAGTATGTATATTTATATTGGCATTTTTCCCTTTTTTTTCCTTTTTCTATGACAATGTAACTACAATTAGGTGCCTGGCATACCTTTTACATGTATTAGCATGTATTAGTATGATCAGTTGCCTCAATCCTTTGCCCCCAAAGAGTGACTAGAAGAATCTGTTTTCTCCTTACAATATTAACCCTGAATCACTCTTTAAGATCAGGAGAATGATCACCAATTAAAGAAACTCTTGATTGTTAATAAAACAAATTCTGGTTGCCAGCAGCTTAGGAAGTGCCATTATGTTGCGTGTATATCACTTTGAGAACTCTTTTTCATACTACCAGCATTTTTTTAAAGAACTTGGTCAAGTCAGAGGGTATCCAAGGATTTCCAGAGATGATCTAAATATTTCCAAAAGACACTCTAAATATTTTCATAGGTGTTTGCAGTGCTCTACCTTTCATAACCAAAGGTTTTGAGGAATTTACAATCAGTTGCCCCTGGGTTTGAAAAAACTTTGTTTCCTTCATACTTTATCAGCTTTATGTTGTGTTCTATATTTTCCCAAAATGTGTCAGTTTAGATTGTGATTGCAAAAATTTGTCTGCAAACCATGAGACATTGGTTAGCAGGTGTAAGCTGGGGAGGGATTGGAGTTTTCAACAATGAGGCTCATCATGCCCAAGGTGCAAGAGGTGACAAGTACACCCACAGATAAAAGTATCTCAGTTGAAAATATATATAATTATATAGTTGTACATTGTAACACAGGACAGAAGGTACAAGAGTTTCTGTTAGTATGTACTGTAGATGTACACAACTGCATGAGCTTCCTCTTGCTTTCCTCAGTAAATAAACAAATAGAGAATAATATGTGGGTGTGCGCAGATATGTAATTTTTCTTGGAGTGTTCAACTCAATGCCCTCTTTAGTGAGATATGGACAGGCAACCATGTATTATTTTTTTAAGTAGATAAACACCATAGAACTTTACTGGCAAGAAAATTTGATAAATGACTTTGGATTGAGAATGGTGAACTCTTCATCAATCATTCATTAATATGATAGAGTGGTGTGAAACACTGCAGCTTATATCATTAATATTTTTAACTTACATATATATTGGATGTACAGTACACATGTTAAACTGAATAGAAGATTGTGTCTTTTTGTAAGACCAAGAGGGTGCTGACAGGAAAAGAGCCGTGACCATTGACAATCCAAGTGATATGAAGGAACTGACTGAAAAGAGTGGGGAGTCCACAAAAGATGATACAAATAAGTTATCTGCTCAAGAAAGGTCAAGAACTCTGGGAGATATTGAGGGAAGTGCTTCAACACCTTTAAAGGTAAGAAATAATTGTTTACCCATAAACTGTTCTCTTTATCACCATCTGTACATTTCTGGCCCCAGTTGTTTTACTCATTCATGCCACATCTAAACAACAATCCTAAGAACGTAGCAAATGAAAGCAACTTTAAGAAACATTTGTTCAAGAGATTCCCAAACATCAATTCAAGTAGCAAACACTTTGGTGTTACAAGGACATTTTAAGATACCTTTTTAGCCTAACTTTTGCTAATTAGCTATTCAAAATATTTTCAACTCTACACATACTTGACTTCTCATGTTGATATTGAATGGACCCTTTTTCTTTCTTTTCTTTAAACTACAGTACTAGGTCCACCAGTAACTGTGATAGCCATTAAAGTCTATTTATTTGTTTATTATTTTGTCACCCTGAGAAGTATGCACCAACAGGCTATGAAGGGTATAACATGCACTGTCAGCCTTTCAGAGCATTTCTTAGAGTGTTATAGTACTAACTCTTGAGAATTAGGTATTAACCCAGTGACATATCTCAGCTTAAATTTTTCTTTATTCTTGTTATCTGTTTGTTTGACTTTGTGTCAAAAGAGGAAATAATATATTGCTCACTTCTCATAGTTAAAGGATCAAATGAATGCTTTTTTTTTATTGTGGTTAGGAGGATGTTGCTGCACGATCACAAACAGTCTGGTACACTGATAAAGTGGAAACCAATGGATCAAAAACAGAATGTGATTCAGCTGAGGAGGCAGTTAGTTATTCCACTAGTATTGTAGGAGGAGTGGTTGTTAAAACCCCAATCCAGTCAAAGTAAGTGTGAAGTAAAAAATTTGTGAAAAAAGACATTTGCATTTACTGTAAACACTCCCACCGGTACATGTAAGTCCTCCTCTTTCTCTAGTAAAACCCTCTCTCCCCCTAATCAAGAACCCTATTGTAAAAGTAGGTTGGTAGAGTTGTGGTGCAATTTATACTGAAAAAAATGCATGCTGTACATAGTGTGCATTAACTTTTGGCTACAAATTCAACAGAGAAATAGTAACTCGCATTTTAAATCCTCAGACAGTATTTTATAATCATAACCTTAAGTAGGATTTTAAGTTTGTAAATAGTGTCTTGTAACCCATTTAGTGTGTTAAAACTTTGTTTGTGGAGTGCAAGTCATGTCCTCAATCTGTGAATTTGATGCTTGCAGAAGCTAGCAAGTCTTGGTTAGAGTAAATTATGTCTTATGGGTTAGAGTGGTTTTTTTAATTTTGTTAACAAAAAAAGAGACTACACTATACCTGTACAATCTGAAGAACAAACAATTGCTGGTAAAACTCCACTCAGAATAAATATATAAATATAATATACTTGGCTAAATGATCTGATGAAAGAGGAAGTACTATTTACATGTAAGCGTTTGGCCTGCCTTAGTAACTTGGCCTAATTTTCACTCAGTTTGACAAGAAAAAACAAAACATAGAACCAAACGGGCACTTAGAAACACATTCATAATGAACGAATAGCTAAATGTAAATAGAACAAGAAAGATGGTAAGTTTTGAGCTCGGTGAAGAAATAAAGGAAGATTTTTTTTTTCGTCTTGTCACGAGCGTGGGACAAAGAAAAAATTCTGACTCTCCATGAGGTATCCAACTTTAGACCTTTAGATTCCGTGCTCCGGTGCTCTACCACTGAGTGGTGAGCAAGGCCCATTACGAAGTTCATCAGCCAAATGTGCCAAATTCGAACTAACTTCACGAATGTTTTTTCAGCTCACCAAAAACCCAACACAAGAAGAGGGAAGGAAGTCCTCAGCTCACTTCACCAAAGAAGAGATCAGTCATAGATTCCCTATTTAGACGACGAAAGAAGTCCAAAGGTGATCCGGAGAGCCCCCTCGGGACCGCACCCAATGACAAAGACCCTGCATCTAGTCCTGGTGGTGCTGATGCAGATGCTTCAAAAGACGGTAATGGGTCATTAGAGACAAAGGAAGAGACAGAAGATGCTCAAAACATTGATATCAACCAGGGGGCAGAAGGAGATGTCAAATCTGCCGTGGGGGTAGAGGATGAAGATAGTCATGCTACACCACAGTACTCTGAACCAGCGGAAGCAACTACTGTGGTAGAGAAGGAACAAAGTAATGATGGTGTCAATGAAAAAGAAGTTGAAACCACCAAGGAATCGGAGGTAGAGGAAAATCAGGTGGAGTCGCAGGATGCGCAAGAAGTGTCAACACCTGTGGAAGGTGCGGAGGACAATGATAAGACAAACCCTGAAGCCCCCGAGGATAAAGAGCCAGAGGAGTCAGAGGAAACAAAGGACGCTGTCAAGAGAGCTCACACTGATAATCCTGGGGAAGAGGAAACAAGTCCGCCACCTGCAGCAAAGAAAAAGAAAACCATTTTTGGTGGTATCTTTACGAGGCGCAAGAGTAAGAAATTAAAAGGTGAAGACACTAGTTCTCCTGATGAGGCACAAGAGGAGAAAGATGATAAACCAGAGGAGGAGCCTCAAACTGTGGATGATAATACACCGCCAGCTGAAGGAGAAGGAGTAGAAACGCCAGATGATGGAAAAGACCAGTCTCCTCCAACTGAAACGGATGAGGGCGCTGCTACCGCACAGCAAGAGGTAACAGTGGATGTGATTACTCCAGCAGTAGATCAAGCTTTAGAAAGTGCTCAAGCGGAGGCAGCAACTGAGGACAAAGATGATGAAAAGACTGAGGGGAAAGAGGAGGATGCTGCTGAGGCGGAGGAGCCAAGTACCAAAGAAGATAATGCACCTGAAAGTAACAAGAAATCTTCAGAGGAATCTTTGCAGTCTGAGGGTGCTGAGACTAAGGTCAAAATAGAGGAGAGAGTGGAGAAACACGTGAATACTCAAGAAAGCCAACCTAAAAAAAAGACTTCCCTTTTTGGTGGGTTTTTGACTCGGCGGAAGAGCAAGAAAACGAAAGATGTCGATGACGACCCTGCCGTCGAAACATCACAACAAGAGGATGATAAGGTACAAGAGGAACAAGGGGAAACCACGTCGACCCAACCTGCTGATGATGCCAAACCAGATAGTGCTGAAGTCAAAGAGACGTCAGAGAATGAGCAAGGACAAGTTCCGACTCCAGACTCAAGTGATACCACTTCTTCTGCAGAGAAAGAAGTTGTAGAACCTGTGATAAGTCCCGCAGCAGATGAACCGGTGGAAAGTACAAACGAAGAAGGTGCAGAGGCTTCTAAAGATGATGGTAATGTTGACGCACAGGAGACAAAAGGTGTTGAGATGCAAACTGGAACATCAGCAGATGACGAGAAATCTCCAGAAGATGTAGTACAACCTAAAGAGGCCGAAGCTGTTGATGGGAAGAAGGAAACAGAGGAAAAGGCTGTCACGATTCAAGAAAATCAACCAGAGAAGAAGAAATCGATTCTTGGTGGCCTTTTTTCCCGGCGTAAGAGCAAGAAATTAAAAGATGATAGTTCGAGCCCATCTGACGAAAAAATGCACGAGAGCGACAGCGACAAAGTAGAAGAACACAAAGATGACGGTGCGTCAACACTACCTGCAGTTGACACTCCACCTCACGCAGAGGAAGAAGGGAAGACAGTGGAGGGCGAGACAGAGCAAAATGCGGCGCCCGAAGCAAGTGACGCCATTGTTGCTACCCAGAATGAAGTAGCGGAAGATGTGATCAGTCCTACAGCAGATCAAGCTATAGAAAGTGCCCCGGAAGAGGCTACAGTGAAGGAGAAAGTTCATGAAGAGAGCGAAGGACAGGAATCAGTGGCGGCAGAAGAGAGTGAGACGAGTAATAAAGAAGTGGAAGCTGTAGTGGCTGTGGAGGTTCAGAAATCTGCAGAAAGTGAGAGTGGAGTAGAAAATGATAAAGCTACTGTAGACGGTAAGGAAATTGGTGATGGATTCTTGTAGTATACTTTTCCATCACCAATTTAAGATGATAAAATCCTATTATATTATATACACTTTGTTGCGTCAGGTTTACTGAAATCAACCTGGGGTACTTACGTTAGTTTCATACAGCGGATACCTTTCTTTTGCAGCTTCAACCGAGCCCACAGTAGAAAAGCTGACTTCGCCCGAAGGGAAAGAAGCCCAGGACAACGCAGATACAGCATCAAAGGAGCGAGAGGCACTCATGAAAGGTTCATACAGCCCTAAGACCCGCCGCATGCAGATGAGGATAAGTTACGCTGAGACGGTTGGAGAAAGTAAGCGATCGTTTACTGTCCTGGGTTTGTTAAGTCTGAACACCCTTACATCAGTATTCATATTCTCCTTACTGTTAACTCTCTAAGTCCTAACGTGCCGACAAGGAGAATTTGTTCAGCAATCTAGAGCCTCTAAAGTTGATGATCATTTTCTTTTTTCTCGCGACGTTAATCCTTGATTCAGGGATGATATTGTAAGGAGAAATTAGATGCTTATCACTGTAAGGGGTCAAAGGGTTAAGGATGCAACAAATTATTTCAGATGTAAATTCTCTGAAGCGATTTTTTCACTTTTTGGTGAATCTGTGAATGGTTTTACTTCGTTTCTGTGGTTAACCTATGCCAGTAAACACGTGGTTATACAATATATTACATCCATTTTTAAATCACAGGTGATCCTCGCGATCTGATTGGCTTCCAGCAGTGAGGTTTATCCCCAAATCGTACTTGCTTTTTACCCTTAAGTGCATCTTTCCTAATAAATAAGCAATAACAAAAAAAAAAACTAATCACTTTTCAAGGCTTGTTTTAAGTGACCAATCAAATTATAGGAGAATAAGAGACTTAGAAGCTATTTGTGGCGAATTTTGCAACGTTTGTCCTCAAAAGATTTTTTTTTGTCCAAAAAATGGATGAATTTAATTTCTTACAGTTTTTGATCAACGACAGTTTCACCATTTCTAAAGGGTGCAATAAAGCAGTAACGCAATTTTGGGCCGAAATCATACTTTTAATTTCAAATCAAACTCGCAGTTCGCGCTCGTTCGATTTTAAAACTACACGTGTCATTTCAGACCAAATTGTACTTCAGTCAGTTCAATTACCATCATGAAAACATGCACGTGGACATCATAACCTATGTATTTTCAATGGTAGGGTTTTCTTGTCTTATTTATTGGACGCGTGTGATTATGTTTAGCCTCCGGACTGGGTTCCATAACACAAGGGTCTTACTGATGATTTTCACTGTTGTGTGCCCTAACAGGTGGTCGAGAGGTCGAGCTAATTGGTACACCAGAACGAGATGCTGAACCTCCTATTCAGAAAAATAAAACACCTCCAGACCAGCGGATATCGTGCCGGGCTCTTGGAGAGGTTGACCACGAAGGATGGTTGGCAAAGAAAGGTAAGAGAAACACTGAAGCAAAACTCCTAGTCGTGTCACGTAAGATAAGCTACAGCGATGTTGGTCAATAGGCTTTAAAACTAACTTTACTTTTACTTCTAATCTTACCTAATAGAAGAGAGAGAAAGGGACTCGAGGAAAACTTTGACTTGATTTAGGTATTTACGTTATGGAATAACCCGATACTACAAACTAGTCAATACCAGAGTATTATTAATGGTAAACAGCAGCCAGTTGAAGCGCTCACCTCCTACTTCTTCTTCCTCTTTGGTATTCTCTTTATTTTCTTGCTCAGTTAGGTGGAGTGGGAATTGATTAATGAAGGGTGCGATCAGAAATTTGCGCTTCAGGGTTAAAACGCGCTGTGCGTCGCGTCGCGCAATTTTTCCTCTTGGACGCGCTTTCCAACATTTGCCGCACCATACGTAACGCCTCTTACGCTAGCCATGGTCCCCAAGTGGAAATGCTACTGGTGGACTTTTAGTAGAACGTGTTTGTTGTAAATCGGCTGTTACCTGCCTTTATGATAGAGCTTAAACTGTTTTCTCTTGAAAGTGATGTTAGGAATTACCTGCAGCAATTTTCTTTTTATAAAATCTTAGCTAGAAAACAGGTAATTCTAGTCAGGGGTCTCATTACTATCAAATTTTTGTAGGAGGTCCTCTCTTCTTCTCGAGCTGGAAACGTAAATGGGTGGTGTTGAAGGAAGGGAAACTGTATTACTTCAAAACTGCTTTCGACCCTGAGGCCAGTGGAATTATAAACATGCAGGGAACAACTGTGGCTCCAGCCCCTGAAACTAAAAAGAGCTTGTAAGTATGCATACTCAGGAAAACATTCCGTGCGTGTATGCGCACACTGGAGGTCGGTTTTTGCGATTAATGTCGTAGAACAGAGGTGACTGAAACATCGATAGGATTCGTATCAGTCACTTGACCTGAAGGCCCACGAACTGGTAGTTAAGAAAACGAAACTACGTTTGGCTTCTGTTGGCGACGTTTATGCAAACCTTTGATGATAGTTTTTTTGATTGCATTATGCCTAAACAGATCAAACAAAAGGATTTCTGTTTTTTTTTTTATTGTAATTAATTTTTTTCTTTTATTACCTAACATTTGTCAGATAAAATCTATTTTCGAGTCGATGCTTCTCTGGCAAAGGAATCACGTTTTAGGATTTTCGTGTTTGTTTGATTGTTTCTATTTTAAAAAGTTAGTTGATCAGTCAGTCAGCTGTCAGCGTGCCGTGTAGGCAGTCCATTAGTTGGTCACCTGTTTGTTTTGATGAGTTACTGCATGCCCCCCCCCCCCCCCCCAAAAAAAATTACTTTGGTTGAGTTGTTCAGGGATATTTGGTTCATTAGAAGTCATTACTTTTACAGGTGTATTTCATTTTTTTACAACTTTGCACACAAATGCTTCTTCCTTCCAGTTGTTTCAAATGTGAGCAGCCGGGACCCAAACCTCAGGTGTTCCTGTTTATGGCAGAGAGTAAAGAAGACATGGAAAGATGGCTGTCTGTGTTGACGGCTGCTTCAAAAGGAGAAGCCATACCAAAAACTAAGCAGCATCTGGCGGTCAAGGAGGAAACAGTCATGCGCAAGAAGTCAGGATCAATCAGTTCAGCGCATAGAACGAGTTCTGTACTTGGTTAGTATTGGACAGAAAGAAAGTGATGAATAGTATGGATCAATGTTAGTATCTGAGAAACTGCGCATCTACCCTCCCCTAGGGTTAGGGGAGGTAGGTGCGCGGTTGCATAGATACTGACATTAATCCAGTGTAACAAACACAGAGATATGATAATGATAATGGTAACTGAGAATGACGATAATGATGATGATGTTAATAATAGTGATAAAGATAACCATTCCGTTTAAGAAGTTACTTTTGTATCAAAACATCGTTTGTTTAGGTTTACAAAAGTAATCACAGGGGCCAGTGAAAACGAAGGAAATTATCACAAATCATGAGCTAATTAGAACACAAAATAAATTGTGGTTAATGGTCTTAAATGCGCCAAAAACACAATCGGCAGGCGCTGCTTAGGATAGCAATGAGCTGCGCAGTCCTCAAATTATAGTGAATAGGGCTGTTCGAAGCTTGAGTACGTAAAACACAGAGTTTAGTTTCATCTTTTCTTGGTTGACGTTTTGCTTTAAATGATATCATAAGGTAAATTTTAATATCCCTCTTATACTCTCATTCTAAAAAGATTGTTTACCTGAAGTAGATGTGATAAATTCATATTTATATAATCGAAATAATTTTTGTCGTTTAGTTTAAAATAAATCCTTTGCTGATCTTACTTTGCAGCTTATGGAGGGCGTCATAGCCTGATAGTAGACGAAGAAGACTCAAACGCTGTCAGGGGGAGGTCTAATCCAGGCTCTTTCTCAAAAGTACCGCAAGTGACAGAGACAGAGGAGAAAAAGGACACAAACTCTGAACCTGTTGAAACAGAGCCGATACAGAATGGCACGGAGCCAGTTACCGAACTCTCAGAGGACAAGCAAAAAGACACGAGCGAAAGTGGAGAAAGTCAATCAACTGAAAAACCAGAAGCTTCCGCGGACGAAGTAGTGGTAAGTGGCGAGCAGGTAGTCTTAGAGTCTGCACCACCTGTTGAAGTGTCTCCTGAAAAAGACACACCGCCCGCGGTGGGATTGGGCGATGCTGCCTCGACTGAAGCTTCGCCTGAAGAGGAGAAGCGAGACGAAGAAGCCGTCGACGCAGCGGAGAAGAAAGAACCTGAGGGTACTCAACCTGAACAAGAATCAGTGGGATCAGCAGTTGACACAACGGACGGGGACAGTAGCGTTATTACGACAGAGAGCTCCGTTACTGTAATAGAGACAGTAGAAACAACCTCAGTAGTCTCCGAGAAAGTTGAAACTGTAGTGTCAGTGATTAAAACAGAGGGAGCAGAAGTTACTCATTCTGAGCATCAAACGGAAACAGTAGAGGTGAAGCAGGAGATCATGGAAGATGTCTTTGAAACTAGCCCGACGGAACCTGACGCCAGCGAACCAGTCTCCCCATCAAGCACCAAATGGTACTTCACTTTGAACAGGCAGGAAACATGGTCTGTAGCAACCGAGACTGAAGAAAAGAAACCTCCGGTACGCATCAAGTCTTCCAGCTCGGCTAGCGACAAAGGATCGATTAGGAGCGACAGAGCATCGATCAAGAGCGACCAAGGGTCAGTCAAGTCTTCTTCGGAAGATGATCAGCTTTTGGCCATGTGTCGAAATATTAAAAAAGCGCGACTGTCGATAGTAGGTGACCCGATGAGGGAGGGTCCGGACAGACTTCGGGCGTGGTCAACTGTGAAGGATAATTCAGAGGAACAGCAATTTGTCAGACTCAAAACTTTGGAAAGAACTCTCAAGGTGGGTTTCAATTTGTAATCTTCTCTAATAACCCTTTAACTTTCCAATCTGATTCGTACTCTTTTTGTGCCTGCCATAAATCGTCTTGTGCTTAAGGACTTTTTCTTTTTCGTGGCGTGTTTTCTGGTTAATTTATTGGCATTGAAAGGAATCGCGTGTCAATGACTTACATGAATAAAAGGGTCAAACAAATGTAAGACCCAGCTGAGGTGTCATATTCATTTGAAATTCCACCCAGAAACGATGACAGTAGAGTGATTTTTGGCGTTCACTCTTATTCCTTAAGAGTTAGAAAATGCGCGGCGACGTTTTTGAGTTTATATATATATATATATATGCAAACGTGAAAAAATAATTCCAAGTCAGCGTGTAGAGTGGTATGTTGCCAGCACCAATCAGATCGCCCCATTTCTTGTAGGACAGAAAAAAAGAAAAGCAAACTCAGCCCAGACGATTTATTGATTCAATGTGAAACTCTTTTTCCTTTTTTTTTTTCTTTTTCTTGTAGGACAAAGAAAAGCATCTCTCAGAGCTTGAAGAGTTATTGACCCAACCGGAAATAAACCGAGACTCCATATACGCATGGAAGTTACGCTATTCAGATTTGGTAGAAGAGCTGTTCCCTTTGGAGAATGAAGAAGATGGAGGGGAGAAAGCCAAAGATACTGAGAGTGGAACAGAGGGTGGAACGGAAGAGCCAAAGAAGGAAGATGATGAAGTAAAACCTAAAGATGTGGAAGAAATAGAGAAGGTAGTTAATGAAGGAGAAGGAAAGAAATCAGAAGAAGAAGCCGTCACTTGCTCGGAGAAAAACCAAGAAAATGTGGATTCGAAAAAAGAGTCTTGTGAGGGAGAACAAGAGCAACAGTCGAGCGATGGACGGGAGGACACAGAAGACAATGAAAATGACAGTGAGAGAGCTAGCGTCCATCAAACTGAAGTTAAGGGTGCACTGCTGTCAGACTCGGAACAAAAATTGAACGAAACAGGAACTGAACAGGAAAAGCTGCACCAAGAGAAAGAGATTTCAACCGAAGGGAAGCCCTCTGACGGTAAAGAAGAAGCCGGAGAAAAAAAGAGCAACAGAGCAACGAATGATACTCATCTTTGATTCGTGAAAAAGAGAAGAGGCAACACCACAGGACAATGTCAGTGTAGGTGGTGCGTCAAGGTAACCGTGTCAAACAATGGAGAGGAGTCAACGAACTTCTCACATTTAGGCAATTAATAATCCCAGCGTCATATTTATGTTAGATGGGAAAAATCGAGAGAATTACAAGAGGGCTCATAACAATGCGAATTAAGGAACATTATTCAGACGGCTCAGAATTTCATACTAATCTTGCGTAGCTCTTATTTCAAGAGCTTATCCTTATTCATTCCTTGAAATTACTTAAATGGCGATCATTCAGTTAATTATTAAGTTGCCTGCACTTCAAGCCGTGAGAGTTTTTTTTTGATTGACCTAAAATTATTGCAATAACTGTGAAACTTAGAACATCGTGTACAACAGAATGATCAGAGAGTGTTTAAATTACTCTTCAAAGAAAAAGTCAGTCGCAAGAAAAATAATCCACAATCAGAAATTATTCCCAATTGATGGAATTGAAGCTTTCCTACGTTTACTGAATTTTAATTGCGATCGAATCAAATCGTCCGTGTGCACGGTTTTCTGAGTTTCACACGAAGCACGCAATTAACGATACTGTTTAATGAGCATCACGCAATCGATGATTGCGTGACTGTATCTATGCTGTTACTTAATTTTCACAATATGTGAATGGCAGAGCTCAGGTAAATTTTATATTATGGCGTTGAAGCAAATCTTGTAGCATATCAATTCAAATTATTTTATACGACATAAATGGAATCTAACCAAGAGAGGTTGGTTAACGTTTTGAGTGTCTTGTAGGCGCAAAGTTTTTCTGCTGATGTGACAAAATTTGTGCGCTTCTTTTGACTGAAAAACAGAAAAACAATATGAGATGTGAAAAGTGAAACCTCTTGGAAAAGGTTCCAGTATAAGGGTTAAAAAAAAATGAGAATTGAATATTATTAAAATTATGGCATCAAAGGCTGCCTCCCATGTTGGGATGTTCCCATTCCAACATGGTCACTGGTAGAGTTCATATTATACTTTTAGTTGTTGTTGATGTTTTTTTTTCCCCTTTCATTTTCAAAATGACCGTTCAATTACGAGACGATCAACCTTCATGTACACCAAATGCTATGTTTATGTTCTCGGTGAAATGCTTTTGCCACCTTTTCGAGGGATAGAACTGAAAACTCAGATGCGGCAATGACTGAAATAAGAAAAGAGTTCTCAGCGAAAAAAACGCATCCTTTTGCCTCAGTAGTAACCAAGTGGCCTAAATGAGAATTTCTCAAAAGGGAAAAAACACAAGCTTCCGAGAACTGAATATATCTTACTTCTTTTTCGTACTCAAATCGACATGTACGTATCTTACTGAATTAAAGTACAAAATGGTCATTATTTACCTACAATAGCGTTGCAAGTGTGGTAGATGGTACACTAGATTAAGCTTGGATTATACAAACTGCAACAAACCTACCTCATCGTATTTTATATGCACGAGTTAAGACTTTTTATTAAAAGTCGGCTTAGGTGTGTCATCTCTAAAATGGTACCGACAGTTGTGTTAATTCAATAAATAAAGAAATATTTAGAATCGCAATTTCACTATCGGCATTTTCACTAAGTTTTCTTCCTCTTTATCCTCCATTGTTCTACAATATACCCTCACTAGACAATTGTTAAAACTGAATTTAAAAAAGAAATATCGAAATTAAGCTTTTCGCCCGTACAAGAAGTTATTGCTGCAGCAAACACTGTGCTTTATAGATTTTATGAAGGCTATTTCGACCTAATTCAAGTTGTAAGCAGGGGGATTCACAGTGTTCACGAGAAGCCTTTTTTGTTTGTAGACCCTTACACTAAAAATTGCCGTTACACTAGATAACACACCTAGTGTTATGCTATTATGGAACATTTCTACGTATACTGAAGTATTTGTATCACTTTGCGGGGAAAAAAATCAACACTTGGTAAAAAAGCGTTGTGCACGAAAGGAGAAGCCGCATTTGAACGTTTTTTGTTTGCTCAAACAGTTGATCAGCAAATCAAATGGCAAGAACTCCAAGGAAAGTTTGCCCTCGATCATTTTAGGCTTGAAATGACAAGATAATGTTGCATTGCCTAGAAACTTATAACCCGGGAGTCATGATATGTCAAATTGCGTCCACGTGGTAGATGTGCGGATCGCGTGACTGTTCCCTGGTTTGCGTAATCATTCCTATTTGCGTGACCACTTTCAGGTCGACATGGTTAACCTCGTTTCAGAGTTGAGGTTGAGCGGCAAGGAGAGATGACCTTCGGAACGAGGTTGTCCCGTGATTAGTGCCTGACTGGTACTTGTCAGGCCTGGGTACTTGTGATAGAATTCAAGAGAGCAGGTGAGTCACACACGATCTCACAATGGAGTCATGTGCATAATAGAAATCACGAGACTCCACCTCTGGCAAAAATCTCTAAACAAGCGCTTCTTCGCGACAAGATTTTAAAATGGATGTTTCAACTCTGATACAAAACCTTAAGCAAGAACTAACCTGCCCGGTGTGTATTCATCTTTATAAAGAACCTAAACAGTTGCCATGTTTACATATATTTTGCCTTGAATGTCTGAACGGCTTGGTAAACTCAAATGCTCATCAAGGCCAGATTAAATGTCCTCTCTGCCAGATTGAAGTCGCCGTACCCGATTGTGGCACAATGGAAACTCTGCCAGACTGTTTCTACTTGAAAAATCTGCTGGATCTTTTGGTCATCAAAGAATGCAACGCATCGGAGGTGACTTGTGGAAACTGCGACGAGAAAAGCGACGAAGTGTCTTACTGTTTTCACTGTAGCAAGTTTTGGTGCAAAGGCTGTTTAAATGGTCATGACATTTTGAAGGAAAACAAAGAACACCGTGTTATTGCATTAAGAGATTTTAAAGAAGAAGATTTCGAGAATGTTGTAAGGCGACCGGCGTTTTGCCAGGAAGACCTTCACGAGAGGAAAGTTCTCAATTTATATTGTAAAATGTGTCAAGTACCTGTTTGCCAGAATTGTGTAACTCTCCAGCATAGTGCACACGATGTAGAACATTTGGAACTAACTGTACAGGCGGTGAAGAACAATATTGATTGTAAACTCGACTCTGTGAAGAAATCATGTCGGAGATTTTCAGATTATATACGAGAACTAGATGAAAAATTTAGTCTGACAGATCGGCGGCGCCAACTTGTCAAAGGAAAGATTCAGGAAACCTTCAAGTCTTTAATCGTCACTCTGCAGGAACAAGAACGTGATTTAGTGACCCAACTGGAAGAACAGAGCAACGAAACACAAGAAGACCTCATGAAACACAAACGTGAATTTCAAGAAAAATTGAGCAAGAGCGAGAAAGCGATCGCGCATATTGAACGCCTCGTTGAACGTAGCACAGAAGCAGAACTTGTTACAACGAAAACAGTTATAGATGAGCTTTTTCAGCAACTTGGACAGCCACAAGAGATTCAGCCTCCAGTCATTGAAAAGAAGAGTTTAACCGTTTTCTTGAAAAACCACGAAGTCATTAAAGGACTTCAGAAGTCGGGAATTGGTCACCTATATACCACTACTACTGAAACAGACGTAAAGCAGTGTTTGGTTCGTGGTGGTGGCGAAGTTACCGCGGGACTGGAGACAAAGTTTGAAGTGATTACGAGAAATTCTGCCGCGGAACAGTTCTACTCCTCTGCGGATGACATTGCTGTTGAAATTATGGGCACACAAAGTAGGAAACCTGTAGCTGAATCAAACGTCGTGAACAAGAATGATGGAAGGTACGAAATTTCATTCATTCCAAGTAAAGCTGGAAAGCATGTGTTATCTGTTGGCATCAACGGAGAAACTATCAGAGATCTTCCTCCCATACACATCAAAGAACGCACTTTCAAGCCTATGGTACATTTTGGAGAACAAAGCATAGATGAAAAAAAATTGAACTCCCCCTGGGGAGTGACTGTAAATAACTCAAACGATATCTTTGTTACCGACATGGACAATAATCGAGTACTAGTGTTCAATGACGAAGGGAACTTCGTCAGATCGTTTGGAGAAAATTTGCTTGAGGAACCAACAGGGATAAGCATTAACAATAATGGTGGGATTTTTGTCGCAAACAGAACAAGTAACAAAATATTGCTTCTTGATCCAGACGGGGACTATGTCTCAACTGTCATCAGTGAAGGCTCACTGAAAGATCCCCGCGGGATATCCCTTGATTCCCAAGGTCACCTTATTGTGTGTGATTCGGGAAATAAGTGCGTTAGAATCGTCTCCGTTCAAGGAGAAGTCTTAAGTACTTTCGGAGAGGGTTGTTTTCGGATGCCTTTTGACTGTGTGTATTATGAGGACAAAATCTTTGTATCTGATCGTGAGGGCCACATGATCAAGGTTTACAGCAAAGATGGAAAACTTTCACATGAATTTGGTGGGCGTGGGACTAGGGACGGGGAACTGTACCACCCTACGGGACTAGCAGTAGACAAAACAGGACACCTCTTAGTCTGTTCCGAGCATAGTCATAAGGTACAGACGTTTACTCTCGAGGGCACATTTGTGTCAAAATTTGGTACGTCTGGAAAAGATTTAGGACAACTTGGTCGACCCACTTCCATATCTCTACTCAAAAGCGGTCATATCGTTGTTTGCGAGTTCGGAAACGATCGCTTACAAATTTTTTCGTGAGACTTAAAGAAATGTTTCAGGAGCAAATCTCATGTACCTATTAATTTTTTTCTACTTTTAAATTTGACAGGCATGATCATCCTTTTTTATAACTTAAACATTTTTATGATATTAGAGATCATTTAATGTAAACAGGAGATACCGTTCGCTCCGCGTTAAACTAGAACAATGAGGTGCATTTGATGTAAAATAGCATGAATTAAAGTTAAATTGTTTCCTCTTATTCAGTGTTGATTGGTCGTGCGTCTTAGGCGAGATCTCTCTCTACGTGCGGGACTAAATCGCTCGCGCCGCGATTTAGCAAGCGCCCGCGAAACGATTAACGTCACGATCAAAGGGTCATAATAGGTTGATGATTTTTACGGTTAACGGTTAACTTTCTTCCTTTGTAATTAAAAGAAAAATGTTTACGGTTTACTATTTTTTTACGACAAACGGTTAAATTTTATGAATTTTTACGCTAACGGTTAGATTTTTTGGCTGTTTTACGGCAAACGGTTGACTCCATCGAGACCCTCGACTAATTGTAAAACGTCCTATATCTCCTTCAGGAAGGTCTCAGCTTCTAGCGTCAAAAAATGAATTCAACCGTGAGATATACTGTTACCAAAATGAGCTCATTTTCCACGGTCCTTTTTCCTGGATCATCATAAGTTTGAGCATGAGAAAGTAAATATACTTTGAGCTGAATTTGATGGGCGGTTTAGATTTCATGTTATGGAAGTGATCAAACATTGAGGTGAATTTTACTGATAAAAAAAAGGTTAAGGTATTACTATATGGAACTTACAAGTTAAGATTCCCTTGATTAATAAAAGATTCAATCGAAGAAAATCAGTAAAACATCAAGTTCGCGTGACCAATAACTGGTTCGCGTGATGCGTAGACTAAAAGCAGCCAATCAAAAACGAGATGGGCTAATAATAGTCCTCGTTTCTAGGAAAGACGCCCCCTGAAATTCTGAAAACCAGTTAAATAATCATCCTTTAGTACGACCTGAAATTTTTGCTTCATCCCAGTCGTTTAAAAATGGATGTTCCAACTCTAATGCACAACCTAAGGGAAGAGGTAACCTGTTCTGTTTGTATTCACTTGTTTAAGGAACCAAAGAAGCAAGCAAAGATTCCCTTGATTAAAAAAGATTCAATCGAAGGAGATCAATCAATCATCAAGTTCGCGTGGCCAATAACTGGTTCGCGTGATGCGTAGACTAAAAGCAGCCAATCAAAAACGAGATGGGCTAATAATAGTCCTCGTTTCTAGGAAAGACGCCCCCTAAAATTCTGAAAACCAGTTAAATAATCATCCTTTCGTACGACCTGAAATTTTTGCTTCATCCCAGTCGTTTAAAAATGGATGTCCCAACTCTAATGCACAACCTAAGGGAAGAGGTAACCTGTTCTGTTTGTATTCACTTGTTTAAGGAACCAAAGCAGCTGCCATGTTTACACATTTTCTGTCTTGAATGTCTGAACGGCTTGGCAAGGACGAACGCTCGCCAAGGCAAGATTAAATGTCCTATCTGCCAGATTGAAGTCGCCGTACCCGATTGTGGCACAATGGAAACTTTTCCAGCCTGTTTCCACTTGAAAAATCTGCTGGATATTCTGGCCATCAAAGAATGTAACACATCGAAGGTGACATGTGGAAACTGCGACAACAAAAGCGATGAAGCATCTTATTGCTTTCATTGTTGCAAGTTTTGGTGCAAAGAATGTTTGAATGCACACATTATTCTTAGAGAAAACAAAGAACACCGAGTTTTATCGCTTAAGGACTTTAAGGACGAGGACTTTGATGCTGTTATCAAGCGACCAGCATTTTGTTCCAAAGATTTTCACGAGAGAAAAGTGCTCAAGTTTTATTGCAAAGTCTGCCAAGTTCCCATCTGCAAAAATTGCGTGACTCTGGAACACTGCAAACATGATGTGGAACCATTGGAAAAAATTTCAGCAGCGGTAAGGAATCGTATTGCTTCTAAGCTTGAGGGTGCAAGGATAGCATCTGACGATCTCTCCAACACCATTCGAAAAATAGAAGAAGATAGTTGTCTTGTTGAAAATCACTTTCAAACTGTCAAACAACAGATACAGAAAACATTCAAAACTGCTATCGAAGCCTTGCAAGACCAGGAACGAGAATTAATGAGAGAGTTGGAAACAAAAGCAGAAGATGTGCAAGAAAAACTCATAAAAGATAAAGAAAATTGTCAAAGTCAGCTGCGAAAGTGCCAAGAAACCGTTTCACAAGTAGCTCGTATTCTCAAGAGGAGCACAGGGGCAGAACTCGTTCGCACAGAAACTTCCGTGAGTGAGCTGTTTCAAGAGGTCAACGAAGGGGGACCCGTTCCCGTTAGCGTGAGCCCATTTCTCAAGAATGTATTTTTACAAAACCAGGATCTCCATGAAATACTTCAAAACAACAGACTTGGTCGTTTGGTTGAAAGTTCAACAGTGCTCAGTGGAAAGATTTGAAGAAGCCACAGCTGGTCTGGAATCACAGTTTCAATTGATTACACGAAATTTCGAGGGACAACGCAGTTATTTCCGCGGGGATAATGTTGTAATGGAAATCGTGTCAGTTGAACATGGTACTGAAGCAGTCGGCATGAAAGTCGTTGATCAAGAGAATGGTACATATACCGTTTCCTTTATTCCAGCAAGATGTGGACTACATTCTGTGACTGTTAAAGTAAATGGAAGTAAACTCAGGGACTTGCATCCATTTACAGTAAAAGAACGATCTTTTGAGCCTGTACTGTTTCTAGGAGAGGAAAAAATTGAAAACAAATTTATGAATCGTCCTTGGGGTGTGGCTGTTTACTCAAACGAAATATTTGTAACTGATGGGGGCAATGACCGAATATTAGTCTTTACTGAGAAGGGGAAATTTATCAAATCCTTTGGACACAATCTGGTCAATGTACCAATTGGAATAGCCATTGATAAAGAGGGAAGGATTTTTGTGACAAGTGCAGGCGATAACAAGGTATTACTTTTTAATCCTAGAGGGGAATATGTTAAAATTGTACATAGTGAAGGATCACTTCTCCGGCCCTTAGGATTGTCTCTCACTCAACAAGGAAATCCTATTGTTTGTGATTCGAAAAATAGATGCATCAAGATTTTCTCAGCAAGCGGAAACTTAATGAAGACTATAGGAAAGGGAAGGCTGAAACTACCCTTGACTGCACGTTTTTTGACAATAAAATTTACGTATCTGACAAGGAGGCAGGTTTCATCAAAGTTTTTAACAAACTTAGCGGGAAGTTCATGTTTAAATTTGCTTATTCGCATGGTGATAAAATGACACCAGCGAGTGTAGCAATTGACAAGACAGGGCACCTTTTGGTAACCAGTGTTGATCGTGTCAGTGTGTTCACTTTAGATGGAACATTTGTGACATCCTTTGGCACAACCTCGTTTCAAAGGTCATGTGGCGTGTCCGTGCTTCAGGACGGCAGGATTATTGTTGCTGATTTTATCCAAAATAGATTGCAATTTTTTGCTTAGAGACGGAAAATGAAAAATCCATTGGCAAGTAGGCTCTAAGTAATGGACTATGTGCAACAAAATTCATCTAAAGACTGCTGTTTTTATGATAACAAATGATGCAATTGTGTCCCCTATCATATTTATCAAATTGCAAAGTCTGTACCATAGTGGGAAAAATAAATTACTATTGGGTGATGTACCTTTAACCCTAAGCAATCTGGGAACTGGTGCAGAGAAAGTCTTGTATCATACTTGTCACCATGCAAACTCACCTGGTACAAGTAACTCAACATCAGAAGACTGCTGTGTGGGCTGCTTGTTAATTTTCTTACTGCCAATAGATGTACAGCCATGTTAAGGTCAGAAAAGAGATCACTCAGGGATTTGAGTTTAACTGCTCAATTGCTTGGCTTGTTAGTGCTTGCTGCACCTCATTTTCACAACTAGATGCAATTTTCTTTCCCTTCCCCTTCCAGTTGTTCATTATGGTAGTCTTCCATGTCATTTCTGTACGAGTAAGCCTCTCTGTTTAAATTAACAGTTTGTAAAAAAGTTACTGAAAATAGCAAAGGCTGCCTTTGGGTCCTAAACGCTGCTTGTAGTCATGTTATGTGGTTCAGATAATAAGCACTTATTGGATGAGGTTGAGCATGATATCATGAATTATCAATGCTGAGGTCCGAGCTATCTGCTGAAGCTGAAGGCAGAGGCAGATAAAACAGACACAAGGTGTGATTATTCATGACACTATGCAAAAACCAAATTCAATAATTGTTTTATTATACACTTTTTCAATAATCTCAGAGAGGACACTTTATTGTGTGTTTGCAAAAGTTTCAGAACAGTTCTACATGGACAAGGGGCTTGGAAACTAGGCAGACTTTGAACCTGACATGCTCCTGCTACAGATATCAAGTTATCACATCAACTTCACATGCTATCATATATTGACTGTATGCTCTCAACCAATTTTCATAGTAAGTCTAATTTATAATGATGATAGTTACTGAATGAGGCTCATTTATTGGTATTGATTACATGGGTTAGAGAGAATATGGATATTAGATAATTGTATCCTTCTTGCTGTCATGTTTTTGATAAAATTATCAGGCTTTGCAAATTTTCAAGAAGATATTATCCAGATCTTGCTAGTTTATGAACTAGACTGCCACAAGTGTATTCCAGTGTTCTCACTTAAGGTGCAAACAAGCTTTACAATTGAGGCTTTCTGAAGCTTGCTCTGCATTATTACTCAAAACTGTCTGGTCAGACCAGTATAGTTGAGAATAATTTATAACTATTAATTAGAAAGTTGTGCTGAGTCAAGAGCCGGAGAAGATTTATCCCAAACTGAAACTCAACTATGATAACTTTGCTACAAAATACAAAGCTGAGAGAACAATAAAGTGAAATAAATAGTAAGTTTATTTTAAAATACCCATCTAAGGACCCCCTTAATTCAACAACCTTTGGAGAGAAACAGCAAATATCAATAAAAACATTTATCATATTTACAAGTATAATAATTTTCCTACTATGATTTTTTTACAGTAAACCCATTATTTTCCAGATCAGAGAGCTTAGAAAATTCCTTTAATTGTCAATGTTCTTTTATATTAGCCTACTATTCTCCTCAGAAACATTGATTTTCTTTTAACCCCTTTTTGCCAATAAAACCCTTCCTGTGAAGAACTTTTTGCTCTCAGCAAACACAGACTAGCTGCCTGTTGAGAGAGCTCTTTTGACTTTAGCAGGAAATAAAATTATTTTACAAATTTCTTTTTGGTCAAATTGTGAATTAGGTTAGAGTACTTTTTGGTTGACTGACTGTTTGAGTAGATGATGCCAGTTTTCTGGAACAATCCCAGATCCTGGATTACTTCCAATGCTCAATTTACCCTTCTACAGCACAAGGATTGTTGCTCAAATGTTTGCATAAATATCAAGTTGCACAATTTCAAAGATTTCATGTTGGAGCATATTGTAAACTGTTGCAGGATTTGAAATGTAATTTGGAGTTGATTTGATTGAAGTTAAGTGCTCTTTAAAAACAGCAATATCTCCAATTAATTACCACCATGCATCAACTGATTGGCAAATGGTTGAATAGATTGACTTCCTCTTTCTAGGCTAACCAAAATTGAATTATACTCTATTTTTAATTTATAAAGTATAACATCTGGCAGGTTTCAAGCAACAAGTGTACTCTCACATCACTTTTGGACATATTCTCTCAAGATATTCCACTTGTCTGTTTTCCAAATATGCAATAAATTTATCTATCCTGGATTGCTTCAATTCTCTATAAGTTTTTAGTCTCTGTTGAATGCAAGGCTTAGTAATAAGTTCTTCAACATTATGTATGCTTGTTTGAAGCCCATGGTAACCATTTGTTAAGGGTATTTCCTCAGTTGTGGCACCATTCTGTTCAAATGCTGATCTTGTGTTTGGCATGTGACCATTGCCATTGGAGACTGAAACAGATCCTCCAGCCATTTCATCCAACACACATTGTAGTTCCCAGTCCAACTCCGCTTGTGTTTGCTTTATCCTACAGCTCTCAGTAGCTTCCTGCAAGAGGTTGCAGGTTGTTTTGCTTAAAGTCACTCCATTTTATGAAATAATAAGATCTTTTTAAATAAAGAAAGAAAATCATGGCCCAAAGAGGGTTGTATTAGATCATATTAAGGTGAAAAGTTATTGAAAAGTATCAAAAGGTTTGCTGCAAAACAAACAAACAAACAAACAAACAAAAAAACCAGGAAAACCCAAAGATGTATTTCTAGAATTCACCTTGAATGCTTTATAATTCCACTGGAATGAGAGAATGGCTCCATAAAAATCCCACACTGAGAACTCAGGCCATAAAACTTTGAGAAATGACAATGAGGAATATGAACACTGAAACAAAATGAGTGAAATTCACAACATATTTTCAACTGTTCAACAGAGGTTTACACATTTTTTAAAAAATGATCAGGGCAACAACTGAGTAATCCTTCAGGAATATCATTCAATCAATGCAAAGTCTCGGAGAACTTTAAAATTAAATGGTTATGATTTGTAAGAACTTATCATTCTTTTTCTTGCAATGCAGGCCTTTCCAAGGTTGTCTGAGATATTACAAAATGCATATGTGGCTAGTCTCCTTTGAGTGATGAGGTTGAATGGTATAACATCATCGCATCAAGAATGAGGCTGTGATTGGTTAGTTCTCATCAGCCAAGATGAATGCATTTGATTGGGTACAATTGAAATGTACCAATCACAGATGGTAAAAACAGACAATAAAAGCAGAGCAACTAGATTCAAACTATACATGTATCGACAGACAAGTTTCATACATATACATGTTTACAAATAATGTAGACTTATAAATCTTTCAAAGTTCTCCAACCAGACTCCCTAGCCTTTCTGCATTTAAATCAACATCAAATCTCTTTTTCTCTCACCTGCCATAATAAGAAATCACTAAACCGCACCTCTCCTGATGTCCTTATCAACATATCAGGGTGTGGGGAGTGTGATGTGTAGAGACATTTCTCTAGTAATGACTCACTAATATCACTGTTAAGAAAAGAAGCAGTTTAAGTCAAAACACTCAAGAGGCAATGAACTGCTGAACAGTGTATTTTCAACATTTAAGGGAACATAGGTGTAGCTCTGAACAAATTGATGTTCCCAGATTACAGTAGCTTTGTCCTTTTGAAATCACAAGATGCAAAAAAACTATTTATGGCTGCATAAAAAGTTTGCTGATATATTTAACCATAGTACAAGACAAAATGTGGTATATGATTTCACATACATGTAACAGCCAGATTCTGTCCTAAGAAAGAACTTCTCTTGAAAGTTTTGAAGAAATTCTCTCTCACCGTTCTTCCCCAACCCTTCTAATGGATACCTTCCTTTATTTCACAGTGCTCTGCGATTACTTAAGCACTGCCTATTGGAGGGGAGTTACCACTATTTCGGATAACAATTGTACCCCTGTAAAGGACTACAACACGTACCTTGCTTTTAGTAAACCAAGTTCAACACCTTCAGCCATTAATTTAACAGCATTTGAAATTTCATGTCTTGATGTATATGCTAAGCAAACATTCAAGGTTGCTCTGGAAGAAGTAAACACAAATAAAGATAAGAAACTGACATTGGTTCCAGTCATTTTGCTTTTTACCAGAAGATAGTAAGATACATCAATGTGCATATAAATTCTTTACATAACTTTTTTTTAATCATCTTAGCTTTTGAAGAATATATTTTAACTATACTCAACATTTATCTGAAGGGATGGTGAGCTAAAGATCATCCAAAATTTATCAAATGAACACCACCAAATCAGCAGATAAAACAAGTCTAAATTACAGTACATATGGCTGTTATTGCAGATACCAACACTGATATACATAAATTTGACAATCTGCCTGGATGAAGTAATACATATAATTCTATCAGGATTTCATCAGGTTACTCCTGAATTTTCTTAAGGAACATGGTCTCAGACCCTCATACAGAAGAGGCTTCTATCATTAGCAAATGCTTTATATCTCCCCCTCGCCAAAACACCCCACTACCAAATTATCATTCTACTTCTCTCCTGACAATCCAGCAGTACCCATTTATACTCCTGGATTGAAAGGATGGCACAAATGACCAAGATGCAAACCATCACCTTTCAAGTCAGTTTCTAGTTATTTATTAGACCAACACACTATAAACATAACCACCAAATGAAATGCTGGCTGGGATATATGTAAAAAGGGGGTAAGTTTCTAAAGTAACTGTGGTGTTGCATTGGTGGGAGAGTATAACAAGGTAATTTAGTATTATCAAACAAGTTGATAATGTAAATAAGCCACCGTAAGGAGTTTAAAAGCTGATGTTTTGAGCAATGGCCCTGCATCAGAACAATGACAATGATGCTCTGATGAAGGGCTAATTTATTTAAAATAAACTCAGTTAAACTTGATAATAATTAATTACCCTGGGACATATGTAATTTGCTATGAACTAGTATCCAGATCAGGGGCACAACTAATACTCCTGAAGAGTAATTTTTCTATAATAGAAACTGGAATAAGTGCATGAGCAGTTAAGGGTCTCTTGGCTGGAAAATTAGTTTTTTCCATGTCCATTATGTGCATGATAAAGGTTTATAAACATGGCTCCAACTTACTTGGTGTTATTTTGAGAATATTTCACAACTCTTGCTACTGATCTTTGTAACTCTTCTGGTAACATGGTGAGATCACCAAGCGCTCTCACACAAACTCCATGCTTCATGATCATTTCTCTTAAAACACAAAAATGAATATCAAAAAAATACAATTCATTCAATCATAGTGGTAGGTGTTGTTACTCCTGATGTGGTTATTAGGTACAAGAGATTGCTCTTTCCTGGGACAACTTTAAGGCCAGGTAAAAGTCATTTAGAAATCAAGAAGAAGCCCTGCTAACACAATGGGCAAAATGGTGGTTTGCCAATTTCTTCTCTTTTTGCCAGCTTCCAGTGGAGTGACAGGGTGCAACACACAAATTTTGTAACTTTTTAATGCAATTTTCCCTTTTTTTAGTGTAAAGATAACCCATAGACTTTTCCATACTGTAATGCAATAATCGACCCCTCTTACTCTTACTCATGACAAATCCAATGGGTTTAAGAATTGCTTTGGCCTTCTCCAAGCCTACTTCCCTTCTCATCTTCCCAAAAAATGTTTACTTGATTTCCTCTCTTAGAAAAAAAAAAAATTTTGTCATTTCTTGATTTTTTGACATGCACATTTCTTTTTATTAGCACTTGCATGCAATTTTTGGTGTATTAACCCTTTCATTCCCATGAGTGACTAAGACAGAAGTTATCCTCGCAACATCAGTACAGAATCTAACAGACAAGTGATGAGATGTTTTTTGGTTAACATATGCACAAGTGGTACTGTAACCCTTCCACTCCCAAGATCTCATAAGTGATTCTTCTTACTGTCTGTTATACAATTCTTTATTTGTTACATGTACATGTAGTTCTAATAATTTATTTTTGGATCAAATAAAAATCCCCTACTTTTTACATGTTTCTTTATTATCATGACTTGACTGTTAGATTTTATATTGATACTGCTAGGAATACCTCTGTCTTGGTCACTCATGGGAATTTAAAGGTTAAAACAAATAAATGTGTTTCATCACTAATGTATGTCCTTACTTCTCTTCCATCAATCTATCAAATTTTTGTGTGGCAAGTTCCATGAGTCCATCCACTTCCTCTTTTGATCGTTTAAAATTCTCAATACTAAATGCATAAACTGTAACTTCTGGTATTCCAAGATCAAAACACCATTCCAGCACCTGTAATGAGTGAAAAAGGATCATTAAGAAGAGTGTGGTGACATTCACTTTTAATTATGTTGTAATAAATGCACCCAAATGATATTATGGATTTTGACACAGAACAAATAATGGATGATAATGCATTATTATACAAACTTCAGTGTTTACAAGGATTTCCAGCCCTAGGAAAAGCCATACCTGTGCACAAGTAAGTTACGATAACTTCTTTTGTGTGTTTGATATCACCAATCAGCTGATACTGGGTCACTTACCTTTGCCTTCACTCTGCTGAGTTGATGAATTATTTAAGTCAAGTTTTCTTGTCAGTAAAGGCTTATGGTGTTTGTATGACAAACAAAATAATACACAGTTGTTTGTAGATATGGAATTTTTCTTCTTGAGTTCAACTCAAAATCCATTTACAGTATACCATGATCATTGGTTGTTTTGGTTAGGATCTTTTACCCAAAATGTTAAAAACTAAGAGTGCATCACAGCACTATTTACTGATCTCCCTTGAATAAAACAAAAGAAAGGAAAAAGCCATTCTTGGCTTCACCTTTGCATTCCCAGGACTGATAAGATGAAACTTTTTCCTTACAATTTTTCAACTACCGTGCAGACAGTCAAAAAGAAACAAGAACATTATCATTTTGGAGGAACATTGTTTTGATATAATTTCAGATTCTCAGGACCACCCAAAAGGGTCAACTTTCAGATCCTAAAAGTCAATGAATTGTGCAATATCATGCAAAAATGAAGTCAGATGACTGAAGTATCAGGTTTCATGTATGTATGCGTATGTCAAAATTCCCCACAAAAATAAAAAGGCTAGTCAATACCTTAACTGAATATAGAGCAATCGTTTTGCTCAACCATCATATTTCATCGATAAAATCATCGTTTTGATCCTATTTCTTCTTATTTCAATTAAAATTTTCATTTCAATTGTACTTTATACACCGAGTGAGTGATGAAAATTTCGCGCAAGCCTTATAATTTTTTACCTTGGGATCTCTAGTAGATATTTTGACCGAAATGGTTTGAATATAACTTAAAAGCTATACTAAAATTTCCTGCAGACATAAGCTTACTCAGCAAATGATAGCCGCGTATCTCACCTCTGTTAACTTCTCAAAACCCTTCTCGTGTCCCTTTGAACGTTCGCACTTCACCTTCTTCGCAAACCTTCTGTTCCCGTCCATTATGATGGCAACGTGTTTAGGAATCTGACCAGCTTTGATGACATTATTACAGAACGTTCTTATGAAGGAGGTTTTCCTCTCTTCCTTAAACCACGACATAACACAAGTTTAGTATTCTTTTCACATAACACGATTCAAAACAGAAGAAGCATCTCACCGGCCGGTCACGATTTTACTGAAATTTGTCGCGTGTGAGCATGCGCACTGCGTCCTTTATGATTATGCATGATGTCATGACAAAAAGAAAGTCGAATGCTGTTTGCCGCCATGTCACGCTTTAACCGTTGATGGCGAAAAGAACGAACGTTTTCTTCAATTGAGATGACGGTAGGATTATTTTGGCAAGAAGAACATTTTGTTCATACAAGCCTTAACCCAGAATGGTGAACACCGAGGACGAGGATGTTGAAAGAGGTTCGTTTCGTTCGGTCACATTTTGTCTCCTCTGCCTGTAACCTTATAGTTCTTTTCTCTTGTCCGAAATCCTACAGAACTTTATTTCCTGATCGCGAAGTTCCTCTCGAAGGGCCCCTGTGTACGTGCTGGATTGGTAAGTTCAACTTGCGTGGGTTTATTCCGTTTAAATTTCGAACCAACACGTTCCGTTTCTCACGCAGGCATTGAAAGAGGAGTTGGTCGAACATCAGGTAAGTACCCCTTTTCTCTAAAACCCGTTGGACATAGGTGCAGTTACACCTCTACGATAACATTATATATTTTACAGCAAAGAAAGCTCCTCAGTTGAACAGTTTTGACCCCAGCGAGGTAAGCAGACAATAGATTTTAATTCATGCCATGTTGATAGTTGATCCTTTCCTGTATGTCCTCTCTTAGCTTTTGCGTCGTCGTGTGGATTGGAGGGGCGAAGAACATGACCAAACCTACGAGGAAACGGTACACTTTTACCCCATTTACAGATCTTGTCGACTGCGCGATTTAAAGCTTTTTCTCGACTTGCAGCCTTGAAAATTTATTAGGGATTTTTAAGCGGGGAACAAAATTTTATTTTCCTAGCATCGTGTGGGCGAAGCCCGACAAAAAACGGAGAAATTTATTTTCCGAGCGTATTTTCGACTGGCAAGCAGATTGTGTTTTTTGCAGCGTTCATTACGAAATTTAGGCTGTGTTTGACACCCAACAACTTATGCATACCAAGCCTTTGTCTATTCATATGCTAATCAGTTATTTATGGTTTTTATTTCAAGCGAGCCAATCAGATCAGAGGGTGCTGCGTGTCGGCTCAGTTTCCTATTGTATTGCAAATGGGAGATTGAAATTCCAGCTGTCAACACGACGTCAGAATAATATAAATAGCATTTCATTTCCGCCGCTTAGTGGCTTAAGATCTAATATCTAGCTCGTCACGTTGCTACTGAAGACAGATTCGCTCGCGCTCGTTTCTGTAGTATTCATTTCGTTTCGATTTAAAGTTTCAGTCTTGATCGGGCCTAAAAAAACACATCAAAGTTGCTCCGAACAATTTTATTTCGGTTTCCTTTATGCAAAATAAACACATTTTGTTTTCTTGTTCTGTAAAGAAGGCCTGGTTACCACATTGAACGTTTGCGATCTTCTGTACCATATATTTTTTGTGGTCTTGCGGTTTTGAAAATATAATTTTTTTCCTGTGGCATTAAATGTGTAGAAAATCTGAGGGAAACTATAGGGTATTATGAATCTGCAACGCCAATATTTTTTCCATTAGGTTACCGAGAATAACCACATACCAGATGATTTCTTACTGCGAATAGCTAAACGGCTCGGACCTTTGGTCGAGCAATGTGTACCAGGGAGTGTAGAGGGCTATCGTTCCTTGCTCGGAGCTGGAAGGCAGAATTTGTTGCGGATATCTTCAGGTACTACGCTGCGTGTGCTGACTGCATGAAGTTTGATTCATTAACTTTTAAATAAATTCTCTTCTCTGAAATGCCGAACGTATGTTATTTTGCACGTGGAACATGTTGGAAGTGACCCAGACTTTCAACCACAATCTATGGCTAAAAAATATTTTTGCTAGATCAGATGAACGATCCTTTAGAGCATCATATAAACTTGATCCCACCAACTTCAGCCTCTTGTTCCCAAAATACTTCCTCTGTCAGTACAACTTGAAATTTATTGGTGTGAAGCTAGTCTTCAGCTAGAGTGAAGCTTACAGACTGGAGCAAGATAAAGTTATGTGGAAAAAAACTCTATTAGGAAAAAGCTCTGTTAATTTCCAGCCATTAGAGTCTTTAGTGCACATATGAAATGCCTTTCATTTAATTATTATTTTTTCTAAGAACCAAGCAAACCAAGTGTGAGCTCATTAGCTGTTTGTTATCATGGAGCACCATTATTACCACCAGTAAAAAGAAGGATTCCGGGAAATATTGGTGAGATGTTGAACAGAAACAATTCTTAGTGTCTATTCACAACAACATCAAACAAAATTTATATATTTTAGCAATTAAAATACATATCTAACAATCCCTACCTGCAAAATAGCAAAGCTAATGGAGGAAATAAATAGCAGTAAAAATACACTGTAGGAAATGCACCTTTGTAGGTTTGAAATCGAGTAGAATAGTGATTGCTAAGAAAATGGTCTGTTCGCGCAGTTCACTTATTTTTGTATTTTTCCTCAATGGACTCAGAATATATCCTGCCTTAATGTTCCTGAGTTCCTGAGTGTTTCTATGTTGTGATTATTACTCTTCTACCTTCTTTAAGAAGACCTCTGAGGTAAGCCATTTAATAAAAAAATGATACCTTAACTAATTCCTTTCATGGTATTTCAGGTCATGTGTTATGCAGCAGAGAGATCAGTGGAACATCCAGTATCAGAAATGTGGCACAACCAAATCTTTACACAAAAATATCTATGGTGAGTTTTTTCTACTCCTAAAAACCACAAGTACTTGTACATAGCTTACATCAACTTTCTTGAGCCTGCATGTTATAAAGGTTAGTAACATCTGTTTGTGATTTTTTCTATAGCATCGCAGAATACTTGGTCATCTTTCTGCTGTATATTGTGTGCTCTTTGACAGAAGTGGCAAATGCATTGTTACGGTAAGTTGATTTTAAAGAAGTCCAATAGACATTGAAGTAAAAGAACTAAAGACTGAATAAGCAAATTGTGAAAACCCTTCACAAACTAGAGGTATTCTCCTAGCTTGTAAGAATAATATTCTCCACTTTGCTTGTTCCTCAGCCAGTGACAGTTCATGTTTAGTACTTCCCAGACTTAATCATTTGGTTATTACAAATGAAGCTGCTGGTGATAAAAGGAATTTGTTCCTATTTGAATTGTCTCGCAGGGTGCTGATGACAGCTTGGTTAAAATCTGGTCCAGTGAAGATGGTAGACTTCTTGCCACTTTGAGAGGACATCAAGCTGAGATATCTGATATTGCAATTAGCTATGAAAACAACCTTGTTGCAGCTGGAAGTTGTGATAAGGTATTGTCCAATCATTATTATTTTATAGCAGAGCTCGCAGAGCTTAGCTCCATAATTATACAAATTAGTAGTAACCCATTAAGCCAAAAAAATTTTGATGTATGACTGTACAACTGTACAAGGTGCTACTTTTGACATGCATGGTCAACTGTACTGCAGGCATGCCAACCCCACGGCTTTGTTCAGTCCAGTGGTCAGTGCACTGGGCTCCGAGTTGGACGACCTGGGTTCTAGTCCTGGCCGGGACAAGTTGTGTGGGAAAAAAAAAATGCAAGCTCTGCTTTTAGGCTTGGCTAAATCTATATATTATCGTAGGAGACTGATTTCGGTATCACTGAATCAGCCTTTATTGCTGTATTTGTACATGATTGCTTTTAACTCTTTCAATTCCAGATCTCACCAGTGATTATCCATAGTGTCTGTCATACAATCCTTATGATGTTAGCCTAGAGATTTTGGTGTTGGATCAACAATAATCCCTTATTGCTACACATGAAAAAATTACATGAGTAGCTAAATATGAGTGCATTTTTCATGTAACACAAGTGCAAAGTTGGAACATGAGTGAAAATTACAAATAGCTTGTGTGCGCAGTCAAAATTTTGTCTGTCTTGACTATCTGTGATCCTTCTTTCATGTCAATAAGTAATAACATGAATTCAAGAACAATTTGGTGTAAATAAGTATGAGTAAAATTTTCAAAGTCAACAAAATTGCACAAGCCTGTAGGGTGAGTGCAATTTGTAGCCTTGAAAAAATCAGAAGTGCTTATTCACACCAAATTGCACTCCATTTCATGTCATAACTTATCAATAATTGATATTTTTCTTTATTCTCATCACTTGTCTGCTTGATATTGTATTTATATTATAAGGAGAAATTATCTCTTGCTTACCTAGTGGAGGTAGTGAAAGAGTTATGGTACTTTGTGGCTGTGTCTATTAATCATAACCATTACAGTTTCCTCAAATGTAGATAGTGCATTAGCTGTTTTATTTTTCACTAATCATTCTGTACAGCTGTTCAGCTAAATCTACTAATTGCAGAATTGATCCTAACAACCATAGCAACAACTACTTACCCTGAATGAAAACTGGGAAATTTCCCAAATGGAGGAATTTTTTATTTTAGACACTGTCTCTACCGCAGATGTTTGTCCTAAATGAATTTGCTTTCTCAGGAAATTGTAACAGTTATGATAAAATGATAACAGGACTTTGTGTCGTTTAATTGAGTCTGTAATCATTCTCATGTCAGATATTGTTAATCACTCGTATGATTACAGACCATGTGATTACAGACTCCACTTGGTGCTATTACCATTATCTTTAACATGTGTGAAGTATACTTTCAACTCATTAAGTGAGTGAGTGATGTTTTTTGAACTGTTTCAGGTGATTCGGGTGTGGTCTATAAAATCCACAGTTCCAGTAGCAGTGCTCCAGGGACATACAGGCATGATAACTTCTCTTCAGGTGTGGTACTTGAAATAGTTTTTGTTTCTAGAATGGAAAATGTATTCTGTAGCAATTATTTAATTGTTAATAAATTTTCTTCCGAACAGAGTTTTAATTATTAATGCTGTAATTTTTTTCATCCACAGTTTTGCCCTTCACCATTAAACGAATCAAGGTATTTAAATTTTCCGGTTCCTCTTTCTTGGTTGTTTCTTACTTAAGAAATCACAAAAGTGATAGCTAGATTGTGTTTAAGGGCTATGATTTTTCTCCCCCACCTGTGACATAATATCAATGGCTGATGTTGATTTTCCAAGCTGTGATGCTACTGGGTCAAAACACAGTATAAACCAAATCTTTCAAGGCAAAGTTGAGCCCAAAGACTGAAAAAAAATGTTTGAACATTGATAATTAATCTATAAGCTGAAATTTAAAAATGGTTCAATTTTAGGTTTCAGTTCCCTGTTAAGATTTCCTTTTTTTCAAGTCCATCAGTATCCTTATTTATTTTACAACTCTTTTTATCTGTCTACACACTTATTATGGTAACTAAATTTGTATTTGGGGTGGTAGTAGTATAATAAAAGGGGTAGGTGACATTTTAGCTTTCATTAGTTTTGTTTAGTGTGCATTATTGTAATAAGAAAAACAAATTTATATAATGTGCCTTTCCTTATCTCAAAAAATTCAGTAAAGCTTTACACCACTTCATTTGGTTATCTTGCCATTTAAGTTTCTTAAAAAATAGCCTTAATCTAAATTGAAAGAGAAATACTCTCATGTATCGTAAGCCAACAGTGATGTAGTTTGAATTATGCATTTGTTTATTTTATTGTAGGTATCTGGTGTCCACTGGTGGAGATGGAACAGTTTGCTTTTGGAAATGGGATTTAGCAACCTTAACTTTTGAGTGAGTGTTGAAAATAGTACAGCATACTCTGCATTACACACAAGTCAGTTTGCAAAGCAGAAATGGCACAGTAGTGAGAGCACTTGCCTACCACCACCATGGCCCTGGTTTGATTACCAGACCTGGCATCACATGTGGATTGAGTTTGTCGTTGGTTCCTGTCTTTGCAGCAAGGGTTTTTCTCTGGCCCCTTAAGTTTTCCTCCCTCCACCAAAACCAACATTCCAAATTCCGATTTGACCTGGAAATTGTGGACAAGAAGAACCACCTTGTGGAATGTCTATTGCGAAATTCTCATTTATTCCCATTCCCATTTTAACCCTTTCACTCTCAAGATCTAATTAGTAATTCTCCTTACTATCTGCTGTACAATTCTTATAATGTTAGTTCAGAGAATTTGGTATTGGATCAACTAATAATCCCATGATTGGTATTCTTCTCTATTCTCATTACCAGCCTAGTTGATATTGTATTGATATTGTAAGGAGAAAATTCTGTCTTGGTCACTTGTGGGCATTAAAGGGTTAAGTCTTTGAGCTGTCTTGAGGTAGTTAAGGTTCACATGTCAAATCCATGTACAGCTTAAAGAAATGATTGTTTGTATTAGTCAAATTTTAACCTCCTTGTACTTCTTTTTTTTTAAGTTCCAAGCCTATTAGATTCATTGAGAAGTCGCGACCTGGAACACAGATGGTGTGTTCCTCATTCAGTCCAGGTAACATCATACAAAATACTCTTAGTCAGTGTTTTAAAATTATTAATTTTCTGCTGTACCATTGAATAACATACGAGTTGTGGAGTTCAAGATGCATAATGAGGTTGCAAGGCTGTTAATAATCTAGTGGAACTCACTTGAATCAACTGTGAAAGCTCTTTGAGTTGCTTCATCTAGAAAATCTATGTTTTGACAATGATTACCCAAGAAAATATAGTAATTAAACATCTTGCACATGCATTTTATTTTTAATTCATCATATACAAAGCTTTTGTCAAAGGCAAGGAAACTACAAAAAGTAAAAATTGGAAAATGAAAATTAATGAGATGAAAATAAGCAAATACTGAAAGAACAGGGAATGTTAAGAATACTTACTACAGACTAACAATGATAACCATAACAGGAAGTTCTTTATGGCTACATGTAGCTTTTAACTTCCATGTTTGCAGGGTTTTATAGAAAGGTGCACTAAACCTATTAATTTTATAATCTAAATTTGCCTTTAGTTCTATGTTTTATGTCTCCAAGACATACAGTACATGTAGTGGTATCTGTAGAATGATTTGGTTTTTTTTTTTGTTGTTGTTGTAGGAGGAACATTCTTAGTGTCAGGAAGTACAGATCATTATATAAGAATATACCAAATGACTCCAGGGCCACCAGAGAAAATTGCTGAGTTAGGTTTCCACAATGTGAGTTTAATTTTATACTTAGCATTTCTCTTGTGAAGTCTTGAAACCAGTTCTGGATTGATTAAATTTTGATCTTTAAACGTACCTGTTTCTTTTTTAGGATCATGTGGACAGTATTCAATTTAGTCACAAAGGAGACAGGTTTGTGTGCAGTGATGGGTTGTTTACTGTTAGGAATGAAAAAATAGCATATCTAAATCTACCAAAAGTTATCTTTGTAGCCTGAAAATTCCTACTAAAGGTCTTTACAAAAAAACTCAGATAGAATTGCAGCAAAAATTTCAAATCATAGGCCAAATGAAAAGCTCCTCATTCAAACTGGCACTTCATCTTTGTCAAATTTACATGCTATTAAAATTTCTATCAAAGAATTATACACCATGTGACTCCATGTACTTGTAGCTCCATTTAGAAGTCAATCTTCAGTTTAAAGATTTTGAAATCATGTTTCCTTTGTGAATGTCCTTGAATACAAGATTGCAAAATATGGGTTTCAAGTCAAATTGAATATGTTAGTCATCCTGAAACATAATACATTAAGAATTGCCAATCTGCACACTTCTTCTTAATGGTGTGTAAAATGGGCCATAAAGTTATTTCAACTTTTTCATTTGGGATTATGAAACAATTCATTGCTAAGTCATAAATTTTCTGACTTATATAATGTATGTAGTACATATCTTATCTAATGTATGTAGAAAGTGAAAAAATTGAGAGATGTAAATATATCTTTTACAGATTTCTCAGTGGATCAAGAGATGGCACAGCTAGGATTTGGTATTTTCACAGATCAGCATGGAGACCCATCTTGATTGACGTCAGCAAGAGACTTCCAAAGTATGTTTCATGATTTAACTCTTCACTTCAAAAATCTTTCCAATTTATCTTCATAAATGACTCTCCTGTCCTTAAATGTGGAAGAGTTATTAAACTCATCATTTTTCAGGCATTATGCATAATCAGAGTTGTCTAGTTGTCCAAGAGCTAGAAGAAGGTAGACTAGGGGAATGGCTCTGTAGGTGTTTACTTGTGACTCACCATAAATTCAAGATGTTTAAGATATTAGTTAATACAAATGGATTATAAAACTTGGTACCTACTTGTAATAAGGACTTTTTAATTTTAAGCAAGTTGCCCACCTACATCTGATCCTGAGGAAAACCCTAGTAAATATTAAGTACTTTTCTGAATGAGTGGATTATTGTCAGTAGATTTTGTAATTTAATTGGCTTTGGTTGACTTGTTTTGTTTATAAAGTTGCTTTATTTAACCTCACAGTTCATCACCAGTAGAAGAGTCAGTCAGAGCTCTGAAGCCAAGAGTTACCATGGTAAGACTTGGTAAACTTAGTGATAAATTGAATAATTTTGAAATATGCATTACAAAATAATTTATATAATGATGTGTGGGGAGTTCAGGAATGCAGAAACTGCTGATCCAGTATTTTCCATACTTTTGTTTCAATTTTTGTAATTAGTAATCACACTGAGAAATGTTCCATTTTTTGCTGTATCAGGTCGGGTGGGATCTGTGGGATCAGCATGTGATTACAGCTGTCAATGACAATACACTGAAAGTGTGGGAAGCAGCTACAGGAAATCTCTCACTTGTTCTCTGTGTAAGTATCAGTATTGTTAAGAACTGAAATCCATAGTGGCACCATCATTTGAGGATACTGTATGGTACAGAAATGCCAAAGTTAGAGTTTGGCTTTGAATAAGCCCAACCTTCCAATTCAAATCTGAGGAAAAAAGTAAATCAGTGCTCCATGGTGTGCCAAAATCATTAATTGGTCCCCAGAATGAAAAAAATTTGGTTGTCAAGAGAAAACATTGCAATTTATTAAATGACTTCTGCACACCAAATAGCATCCAAAAATGTCACCTAAATTTTCCCCACCCCTAATTAGAGGCTTTGTACCTCATGTTGGTAGTAGCACCCAACTACATGTAGTGTCTTGGAGTCAGGGGTTTAAGTCCTGTTGAAAGCATAGCTATTTTTTTAAGGTTTCTTTTCTGTAATTGCTGAAATTGTGGCTCACTTGTGAAGAGCATTACTTTACTTGAAAATGTTTCTAGTTGCCCAAATGGTTGTAGCCCAGTGCACCAAATGTTATTCCAACTGTAGTTTAACTGTCCTCTTTGTGTTGGAGCCCACCTTTCATATGTATATCTTCCCTGTTCATGAAAACATTTCCTCTGGGAAAAAAAGTTGTGCATTAGTACTTTCTGTTCCTTACATGTTCATGCTAGGTACAATTTAGGTTCATTTTGGGTGTGAATTACACTGAATGATATCAAATTTACTTCTTCAGGGACATCAAGATGAAGTGTTTGTCTTAGAGGCTCATCCAACAGACCCCCATGTTCTTCTAAGTGCAGGTGAAACATGCTAAACTGAAGTCAAAATAAGGGCTGATAAACTTGGTTGAAGCATGAAAATAGCAGTCCATTAAAGAAAAAAAAGAAAAGATTCTCACTATCATGCCAAGTCATTTTAAGTGATTAAACATTGATTGCATTGGCTGGGGAGTGGGGATGGCATAATGGTGAGAGTGCTCAACTTCCACTGCTGTGGAGTGGGTTCAATTCCTCACCTGTCTTAAGTGGGGTGAGTTTATTGTTGGTTCTTGTCCTTTCACAGAGGGCTTTTCTCCTCCTTCCACAAAAACCTTCATTCCAAATTTCATTATGACCTGGAAACAGTGCTCGAGAAGAGCCACCTCGGGGAGTGTCCATTGCAAACTTCCCACTATTCTGACTTTTGCTTAATTTCTGTTGTCAGTTTGATCTTCCCTAAATTATGATGGAATTACTTTAAGACACTGAAACTGGCTATCTATGTGGAGAGTGAAGCACACATTGAAGACAAGCATTTTGATGGAGTTCACATCTCTCAACTTCTTTCATTTTTCTTGGCTCCTGGAATCACTCTGTCTTGATACCATACTCAACAGTTCCTTTTTAATGGCTTGGGCCTAATTTTTGTTTTTGGCAGGTCATGATGGATATGTTATTTTGTGGGACCTCCGAACTGGCGTTAAAATCACGAGTTTCTATAATTCAGTGAGTACACTCATGCTTTGAGCAAGCCTCTGACTCCCAAGATCTGATGAGTAGGTCTTCTAGTTGCAATCTTTGTGATAAATTTGGTGTTATATGATCACAATAGAATCTTCCAGCTAAAATACTACTGTATCTCTTCTCTTTACCTATTTGCCTAATGTTGAATTAATTTTTCAAAAATTCAAAATGTAGATTAACAACCTCGTGCTCTTTCCTTTCAGCTTGAAGGTCAAGGCCACGGGGCTGTGTTCGATTGCAAGTTTTCACCGGATGGCCTCAAATTCGCCTCAACAGACAGTCACGGCCATCTGTGTATCTTTGGTTATGGTTCAAGCGATCGTTACAGCCAGGTAATTCAGTGACACATTTTATAACACACTCTTATCTACTACGTATTCCACGTTACCTTTTATCCTGTAATTTTCACGGAGTGGTTTTCGATTAAGAGTCACAAGACCGAGAGAAAAGTCATCAAACGGCCATCAGAACCAGGGAAAATGTCACGGCTCAAAATAGCAACAAACATACAGCTTGAAGCGCGGGAAAACGCGAGTGAACAAATTGTAATCGAGTTGAGTTTTGCATTTGATTTAGCCGAAAAGTTGGACGAGACATCTAGATACAGTGCACTGAAATAAAAGCAAATCAAGCCCGAATTACTTTCGACACTGAATCAAAAACTTCTCTAAAGAAAGATGTTGATATTTGTCTTGAACGTGGGACAGCTCATGGACAGCTCACATATGAGCTCTCTGGGAGTTGCATTCATTGGTCTTGCGCCGCCACATCTTGCAGTCTGCTCTTTTTCCAGCTTTGGGTACACTTTTCGCCCCGATTACTTCGCAGCTTGACTTGTAGGCAATCCGGGTGACTTTGATCTCAGATAAAAACTGAGCATTTTCATTTACACATTTCGATTGTCTCACTGCAGGTTCCTAGTGAACAGTTTTTCCACACGGACTACAGACCACTTATAAGAGATTCCAACAACTACGTTCTTGATGAACAGGTACGCACTTGCCCTTTGCCAAACGTGATTAATTAGAGCACATTCCACAGGAGAGGAGAAGTTTTGGGAGAATGTTCTTAGAATGTAAAGAGCATTTTAAAATTAGATTTATGCCATTGAAACTTTTGACTATTCCTTTCTCCTTCCATCCAAAAATCTGGTAAAATTTACCTTATGAAAAACGTATGTATGTACGCATGAGAAATCTTCAGGGCCGATGGTTTGGGCCAAACACCATTGTCTCTCTCCACCAAAAGGTATTATCGGCAACCACTTTTTTAGAAGTGAACCTGACAAGATTCTAGGCGGTGAAAGAATACTTGCAATGGACCTGCCACTCATTCAGGAGAAGTACTACTGTAGTAATACTCCTTCTTGCCGCAAGCGAATGGAAAATCAATGCTGTAGCTATGCAAGTAGGTACCTTAACCCTGACTAAGCACGTATTTGTTTTGCAGACCCAGACGGACCCACATCTCATGCCTCCTCCATTTCTGGTCGATGTAGACGGCAATCCTCATCCACTGCACTTTCAGCGTCTGGTGCCAGGTCACGGAAGCAATGTCCGCGACCCACCCAGGCCTGCCCTTCAACCCCCTCCCACACCAAGAGAAGATCTTCCTCCCCTACTGGCAGAGATCGAAGCTGCTGAGGCGCAGGAAAGGCAAATGTTTCCAGGTTTGTTAAACTGGTTTATTTATTTATTTATTTATTTATTTATTTATTTATTTAATATATATATATATATATATATATAAACAAATCTAACGCAATCTCTTGATATAAATGATCAAGAATATTAAGTAAATGAACGCTGGAAACGGTCCAGTCCCCCTGAGACTATATGTAGGTTCGGTTTCCGCCGTTCTCTCCAGTGTAGTCATCGATCTGCCTGATCCAAAGATCGCGGGCTCATTTCCGGAACTGCGGCCCGATATCGAAGCTACTCTTAAAGTCCGCTATAACCAACGGGACGCACCGATCGAAAGTTCTAACCCCTTTAACCGCGAAAAGTGATCAACTTGTGACTTCTCCAAACAATGTAAATATGTTATCCAGTAAGAAGGTGATGAGAACGCACTTATTTATCAGGGGGACTGTGTTTTCTTTACATATCACCAAATTCTCCCTCCTTATTTGTGAGAGGATGCGTTTAACCTGAGGGGAGAATGACTGATCAGATCTTGGGAGTCAAAGTTTATTTGTAAAAAGTAAAGTTTGTCTTAACCTTTCCACCCTAACATCAGCATTTGTATTTTCCATACCGTTCTCCATACATTTCTTAAAGTGCTGACAAGGAGAATTTGTTTAACAATCAAGAGCTTCTTTAGTCGGTGATCATTTCCTTTTTCTCGTGACCCTGATGTGCGTTTCAGGGGTGATATTGTGAGGAGAAATTAGATGCTAGTCACTCTTAGGGGACAAAAGATTAATGGGCTTTGTTAAACTTGGTCTTTCTCCTGCTTTTTACAGCAGGTCTTCATTCCCCTCCACCTCATGGTCAGGGAGCAGTACCTCCCCTCCAGAGCCCCGGAGGAAGCCGTAACTATGGCATGCGTCAGATGGGTGACGTGGAAGGAGTTCGGCTGGTTCACGGTAACGTGCCTGTGATTCAGGACGTGTCTGAGTCTGACACTGCAGCGTGGAGAAATAGACGAATTGTGCCTGATAGCAAGCCAAGCATCGCTAAGTAAGTGTTTACAACACATTTTAATCGAGTGTCGTAAAGCCATAACCTTAAGTAACAATAATGATTTTCATTGGCTTGATGGCTAATCAGGACTAAAGAAAAATGCCAAGAGGCGCCAATCCAAACTTAAGGCAAAACTCAAGTCGCGTTTGGTTGAACATAGTTTTGAATCTGATTGATCGAAAAGGTGGCGTGAGCCTTTTTGGACCAGTTATTAACGTGGGGAAGCAATAAGATTTCGCATTACCTTCGAAACTCGACACTGGGTAGAAAGTTGTTCTTAAATGGTTAATTTTTCCTTCATATTCTGAGACAAAAATAGACTCAATCTTAAATGTGTTTGTACTTGTAGGAGTGATGTGGAGAGACGGCTGTTACTGGGAAGAGAAGAAATGTTGAACTATCTTAGAGAGAAAAAAAGACGAGCCTTGCCCTCGACATCCAAAAGAGTAAGTACTCTGTTGATTAATGTGTGACTCATGACGTGAAGACTAGGAAGTACTTGTATGGCAGTCTTGAGTAACAGTGTGTTGCTATATTTTAAGTCTGAAAGGTATATCTAGTAGTTTAACAGCCCTTGTTTGGTATGGAGTCTTTTAACGTCGGGTAAATGGTTTTCGATTATTTAGTACTGAATATTTTTGTCTCTCGTTCAATTCAAAGGTGACGGTTCATGTACCAGAACCACGAGTTGCCGAAGAAAGACCTCAGCAGGCTGCTCGTCGCACCTCAAATCGGCGGAATGCTGGACAGAGCTCTCGTGGAACAAGGAGACAAACTTACTCCACCAGAGCTACTGCCTCTATGGACGTAGAGGAATCAGCTGAAGAGGAGGCAGCAGCTACGCCTAGCGATACTGAAGAAGAAGACGAGGAAGATGAATGGTCTGAGAGTAGTAGGTATGTGGGAACACGGTTCTGGCTATATCGTTGTGTAGGGTATGCGTGACAGAGAAGTTACTTGACGGCCTAGGGCTGGTGTGTGACTTGAGTAATTTTTCACTGACTGTTTACTCTTATCAACAGTGAATCAAGTGAGTACTCGGATTGGACGGAAGAAGTTGGACTTAGAACACAGCAACAGACTGAGAACCGCCGTCCAAGGTGAATACATTTTTTTTTTTTGAACACGTAATTTTTAGAATCTTCTTTTGTCATAAAGTGTCTTTTTTTTTTCCATTATCTTCTTGTGGTCAGCGGTGACTATGCACGTTCGAGCAGGCGGAGAAGAGAACCTCTGCAGTCTTCCTCCACAAAGAGAAAGACCTAAAATCTTTTGTCCAAATCTTTTTTTGGATTGATTGTCTGAAAGGTGCTACATCACGGTCTCTGCATCTTCGAAAATTTGCTGAGCCTTAAATTTTTTAGTTCATCAAAGGCAATTCGTGTCAACCTTTTATCGTTAGTCATTCTCGTTCCGTTTTGTTTACTTATAACTTTTTATATTTTCTACCCTGACAAACGGTTATTTCAAGATTCAGTACTAAAAAAATCCAACTTATGCTAAGATGATTTCAGATATGGTGAATTATCTCTTGTGATATGTGCTTATTCATTCTCAAGGCGGGTGTGTAGAGTACTGAGTACATCAGAGGAGGAAGGGACTGAAGCGACTCAGCCAGGTCCCAGCTCCCCTCAGCGGCAACCCAAGGTTAAAAAAGAAAGTAAAAAGGCCAAGAAACCTGCTAAGAAAAAGAGAGTAAGTAAAGGTTTTGTATGACCTGCGTTTGGTATTCATCTGTGCTATGATGGTGTATTAATTTTGTTTTTTGTGATCTGGCTTGAATGGTTCTTGAGTGTTGTTTCTCTATTACAGAATGAAGTGTTATCAGGTTTGTTTGAAAAAAATACAAACAACGTGTGCAACGAGGTTGTCAGAAAAACAGAGAAACGTGATGTAGTTCATTCGTGTTTTGTTTGTTTTCAGCCGGCCAAAAAACCTAAAGTAGACGAAGTTCAGGAGTTACTCAGCTTATATCAGCCACCAGACTGGCTGATCTGCACAGTCACGCGCATCTCACCATACGTACCTCAGATTGGTGACGAGGTAAAGGAGATTGTCTTTGTTTATCTGTTGAAAAAGTTTTTGTCCTAATAGGTGTTTTCTCACGAGTAGTCTACTTCTGGCTTTCATTGGTTTCTTTTCTTTGTTATTAACTTTTTCTTGATTCTCGCGTTATGAACTATAGACTTAGCTACTGGCGTTCAGAAAGTTAGAGAGTTTTTATGGTGTGCAAAATCGTTGGAACCCTTATGTTCCCTCGATTGCCTTTGCGCTACCCAAAATTCACAAATCGGTGGTGGTTGTCTGACGGATAAGTGAGCCGAAGTACAAATATTTATCTAGGGTACTCAAACGCAAGTTTAAATTAAGCGGGTCTTTTTTCTTTGGTTCTTGAGAAAAGTTTTCAATTAAAGTTTGCGTCAAAATGCCAAAACATGGGTTGTTGAACTGATTAAAATACATAACACTCACGCGTGCCGCCTTCCGACACTCACGCAGATGCACCCTAATGCCTAATGTTCACGTACAACACAGCAAGACCCTCTTCCTTAGCAGAAATTATCATTCATTGTGCGCGCAGATTCCTATCACTTCCATTCTCATCACTAGCATTAAACGCGTGTCTGCGCAACACTCGCATGCCTTTGTTTGCTGAGCGCTTTCTACGCATACGAAACGAACTGTTGGTGTTTTCTTGATGTTTTAAAATTCACTTAAGAATCATCTTATTTTCCAGCCGTGAACGACCTGGTTTCATCTCTATTTTCAGGTGTATTATTTCCGTCAAGGCCATGAACTGTACGTAAAGGAAGTGATTGCGCTGAAAGGTTACGAAATCAATCCAAAGAAGCAGTGTTTCTATAAACTGAGATTAAAGGTAGGCTACCTTAGCCTTCTTTATCACGTTCAAAGGGGGTAAGTTTCTAAAGAAACCGTGGTGCTGCGTTGGTGGGAGAGAATAACAGGGTAATTTAGTTTTATCAACTGAGTTGGTACCTTAAATTAGCCACCGTAAAGAGTTTCAAAGCTGACGTTTCGAGCGTTAGTCCTTCGTCAGAGCGATCGGAGGAACTGTAGAGTGAGTGTGTGTTTATATGCAGAAAATGAAGTTACGCTATTGTTGGGAAGATGGTGATGACGAAGTTTAGTTTCGATATTCTTGTCTTCAATATAATTTTTTGTCTTTTTTTGTAGGCTGAAGAGCTGTGTCGCATTGTAAGTCTGCATTACTCAGCTGGTCCACCAACTCTTTGCTGCTTAAAACTAGGTAACCTCTCCGCTCTTGATTTTGCTCTAAATACATTCCTTCTAAATTAGCTGTTCGAACACGTGCTAGTTTACCTTTGGAAACGCACTTATTAAAAAAAATTCTTCGTCAAACTGAATATACTGTATCTTGAATTTCTTATTTACCTATTTACGATGTCCCTGACAAGTGTCCTCGTCAAGTCCTCTAAACTAGGAATTTTCGTCCACGACTACTCTTTCGTGGAGACTTTTCTTCGGGTTTGGACCAGGAGATGTGTCGAGGAAAAAATTTTTTTCTCAACTTTCCATCAAATGTCTTGAGAAAATTACGGCTTCGGTTGCCTAGACAAGAAATATTGATAAAGTTCACCTAAAGAATTTCTTGTTTACTTTTAATCGCAGCGCTAATAAATCCAGAGACAGGCAACAGCACAGGAGCAACGTTCACTGTCAAGTAAGAGAATACTGCCTATTGATTGGTAGAGAATACTTCCTATTCAGTGGTTTATTATTCCGTACTCAAAATGTTAAATACATTCTTTGCGAACGCATGATTGGTGCTGGGTTTCTTTGCTAAAGTATTCATTGATTTCACTTCTTTTGCCAGATATCACGACGTCCCAGATGTGTTAGACTTCCTTGTATTGCGGCAAGCTTATGACGCGTCCATAAACCAAAACTGGAGACCTGGTATGTTAAGTCAGTTTAACTGTAAGCGATGAAGGCTTTCCTCCAATTTATCAAGTACGGTCTGACGCGACCATCTCCTAGCTGCCTAGCTGTGGATTTGTGTCATTGTATTGGTATAATTTTACACCAACACCTCAAACTTGCGTTACCCCGGTATGACTATCCACTTTTAGTGGCCCTTTGCAACCTTATTCTTGACAAAATCATGGAGAATTCCACCTTTTTCGAGAACAATTTTGGAAAATTATCTCTATCTTGTCCCCACTCTCGCCACAGTCAGACCCGGAAGGGAATCATGCAACTGTAAAATGATCATTCTAAGCCATGATATTCATAAAAGTCGATCTCTTTTCCTGCAAATTAAATCTTCTCTCAGACCAAATTTCTCTGAGCTTCATACCACATTATAGAGTAGAGTGTTTGTAAACCTCAGCCTACAGAGTGGGCAATTTTACGACAGAAATAAACACCAACGCGTTGAACCTGTTCAACTAGTTTTAACGTGTTTTGGTGTTGGCGTTTCTTTAACCAGTACGTGTTAGTGCTCGGAACTCTGAGAAGCTCTCTGAGCGGATTTTGTACTGTACCTTGCCCTCTTACAAGCAAGATTACGGCAGGGTCACGCCATGTTGTTGTGTGTCTCTTCCTGAGGGCTTGCAAAATTAATCTCAAAAGCATTTGTTTGAGACTTTTCTCCTTTCTTAGAGAGTGGAGTTAGGTTATAGGACAATGCTACATTCTATTTACGAAGAAATCTTTACTGATTTTTTTTTTTTTTTTTTTTTTTTTTTTTTTTAACTTGTGCGATGGACTTCGCCGAAAAGGGGGAGCCGCTCTTTGCTTAATATTCACCTAAGATAAGAGTGATGGTCTCCTAAACTTCTCTATTATACTTTAGCAGATAAATCAAACAAAAATTTGGATGTATCTTCAATGTTTTTTCGGTATTTCATCTTGTTTTAGGCAATCGCTTTCGCAGTGTCATTGACGAGACGTGGTGGGCGGGCGAGATCACGGATAGAAGTCCTTTCCAAACCGACTTTCCTGACTCTCACTTTCAGTGCTTCACTGTCAGGTGAGAAGAATGACCATGCAGTAATTTTTTCTTGATATAGCTTTTTTGGGGAAACAAATAGCAACAGAGAAAGGTAAACGCTTATCTTCAGAGTCCTTGAAAAGAACTGTTGCACTGAGACTGATTCACTTGATTTTACAGTCTCATGTACTGTTGTGTTCAGAGATGTTTTAATTATATCAGGAAAGTCCCTTTCGCGGAGGCCGCTGCAGTCAGCAACAGTAATTGACACTGTGTTAGTTGGAGAGCAATGTCCCTAATATCAGATCCGCTGATTTACCCCACGCTTTTACTTGACTCCAGCGAGTGGATATTAATTTGTGTACTAATTGAGGATTAGGTGATGACTAATATTAAATGACTAATATTTTGACCTATGGAATTTCTCAGATGGGACACAGGAGAGGTCGAGCGAATGAGCCCCTGGGACCTTCAGCCCGTCACTGAACATGGTATGTACTCAATGATGTACCTTGTCACGGCAGGCCGACCTAACTCTTCGCTCGGTCAGCATCAATTTTCACCCTAAGCTTGAGAGATTCACGGGGAGATCCAAATGTCTTGCTCATGAATCCCTTTCATTTTCTCTAAAATTTTGAATATCAAAACAAAATGGAAGCAAGTTTTCTTCAACGTGTTGACAAAAAGTTCACGTCTTCTCTCTCAAGTTTTTTGTATTTTTATTTCCTTCAGATCCTGGCAACCCAGATCTTTCCGCCGACGCCTCAGGAGCAGCAACTAGTAACATACCGCTGACCGATGACGATCGACTGTCACTGGCGTATGACCCGGATGAAGAGTCCGAATGGCTTGGCGAGGGACGGGAGACCATGTCTCAGAGATTAGTAACAGGTCTTGAAGCGCTGAGTCAGCTGAATTTTGCGGGGCCGTTCGTATACCCGGTGGACGTACAACAATACCCGGATTACTGGTCTGTAGTGCCTTACCCTACCGACTTGAACACTATTCGGGAGAAGCTCTTGAACAAGTATTACAGGTGAGTCTTGACGTGATGTTTTCTTTTTTTCTTTTTTTCTTTTTTTTGAGATCAGAATGTTACTTCTTGCAAATTCAATTTATTCTCCAACAGCAGGTGATGAGGAGAAACAAACTTATCAGCTCTATTATCAGCGTTTTTTTGATACAACTCCATATTCTCTTAACTAATAAACAACGAAATGTAGGACAGCCATTAGAGAAAATTACCTATCCGCTATCAGGTGCTTTAGGGTTAGGAATTACGAAAGAGGATCACAAAGATCTTCCTTAGACAAGTTAGAGAGTAGAACTTTTTCGAATGGCAGGTGTAGCACTATCTCTGTGAAACTTGTTCAAAACCAAACGTGGAAAATGGCTGAAGATTAATAAAGGCGCGCATGATATACGCATTTGCAGAGTAAAATTTTCGTATTTTTACACTTATCACGTTAGATTTTCATTCTTTCCGCTCCACTATGGGTGTCAAAAAGTCAGCGAGTGTAAAGCGGAAGGTTTCATTATTCGATTCAATACTAGTTTCTGAGCAACTGCGTTCCCACCCCTCCCCGAACCCAACATTAACCCTGACTTGTTATCAATTGACTGTAGTCGGTTTAAGGGAAGGGTTGGTGTGCAGTTTCTTTGATACTGACATTGATCCCATTCTAGTCTATTGTTAGATTATTCCTAAGCACGAGAGAAAGAATTACGACAAAATCTCGCTGATCGAATTGTCATTTTAACAACAGTGTGGTTTGATAAAGTGTGCATATTTATCTATATATTTATTTATTTGCCTTTTAAGGCGAGTTACTGCTCTTCTTTGGGAAGTAAAACAACTAGAAAGAAATGCCCGTCTTTACAACGAGGAAGAAAGTCAGATTGTTAGAAATTCTATGAAACTCGTGTCTGTGTTGAATGCGTTTATTAGGTGAGTATGGCTTAAATTTCTGCCTCGTTTGGATTTTTATTCAGTTTTGCTATCCGATTTACTCCGAGTATCATCGACCACTGTTTCTAAAAACGACGTAATATTCAAAAGCTTTTTACAAAGAGATGTACCACCCTTAACGGCTTCTAGTAAGTCAACAACCTCAAAAGTAAGAATGACAGAAACAACAACATCAGCGCTTAATTTAAGTTAATGTTAAAACTCTCACCTCTTTTACTGGCCATATCACTAAAATGCCTCAAAGCGTTCTTAAGTAAAAACTTAACCCACTCTCTATTCAGGTTTGCATATACTCTTCTTTGAATCGAAAGAACTACTCAAAAACATAGTTCAGGTCCCAGGATAAGCCTTAAAATAAAGTTGTTGTCGTGTTTTAACATGATAGGGATTCCACGTGCAACGATATACTTTCACTGTGTGAAGACGAAGAAGGAATCGAGGACGTTGAGGTTTGAGATTTGTTTTAAATTTTGACGGTTTTCCAGGTTTGATCTAACAGCTGCTGCATTGAGAGCATTAAACATTTCCTTGCTCTCAAGTTAGTTCTCCCCTTCCTAGTGAAACGATATTGTACATAAGACTAAGATAGACTTCTCCGTTGCAAAAGACTAAATATTGTAACCTTTGATTAGCTTCTCTTTCCTAGAGTGTTCTCTAAAGCTGATATAGGAATGCCACCATGCGATACCTTTCACAGAGCAAGTTAAAGCAATTCTCATTTCAGAGTGGAAAGTAATCTGGGAATACGTTTAATTTTGCTTTACTTCGCCCTGTGCTTGATCTTAGCAACTGGTACCACACACTGAACTAAGAAGTTGTAAATTGAAATAATGCCGTACCTTGGCCCCTCGCGTTTTCTTGTGCTTCAGTTTAGCGAGTCGATTCTGGTGGCATTTTTTTTTTCTCGACTTTATTACTTAGGGTTTGGTAGCAACACTCAGTAGAAGAGTGCTCTAAAATTTAAGCCCCCACCTATGTTTGCTTCTGCAGGTTCAGGTTGAAAATATGTCCGAAGAGTCAGCAGGAGAGGGAGAAACGTCACAGGTACTGAATACGACCACTGAGCTTACTTTAGCCTGAAGGGCAGGCTTGTTAGTGGGGTACACGAACTTAATTATTTTTATTCGCCCGATCGCGATGTTTTATCGAGCCGTAATATATAACTCGACTGTTCCCCCTGGTTTTCAATTCCCCAAGTCTAATTGCTGTACGTTTTTTGTTGTACCTCTTCCTAAGGATTCTACTGTGCCAGGTTCTCGGAAAAGAAAACGAGTGAGTGCAACTTTCTAATAGTTTTTGAGGTTGTAGACTAAGCGTTATAGCATCAAGCGCTCGCTTAGAGTGCATGTAATCACAATGGAAAGGGGGGTGATTGTTTTTTAATCAGAAAACCTTCTTTTTCTTCAGGAATCATCCGGTTCCGAAAGTCACAACAAACATATTAAGAGAGAGCAAGCCCCTCCTGTTGAGGTAAGCTTGTCTTTACCGTTGCTTTACGAGCAGTTATGCATGGCTCACATTTCCTTCTTTCCTTATGATTTGTTCTTCCTTGACTTTTCATTCGTTGCATATAAAATGGCGCAATATGTCCGCACAAACAAGCTCGCGAAAAACATTTTGCTTATGTAAAAGTATTGTTACTGCAGAGTAAGGCCATATTTTTGTGCAACTCTTCCCGGAGGCTCCAAGGTTACCCTGGTAGACTTTTGCTTCAGCTGAGTCTTTGATACTACGCATGAAAACACTTCAGTGAACGGATTTCGTTTTTGTGGGGTGGCTACTCCAAAGCTGGGAAACTCCGTCTGCACTGTGCTGGTGTCAACACTGATGTGGACCTACAAAAACTGTGTGCGAACGGCGACCTGTTTTTGTTGTTGTTTTTGTTTGGTTTGTTGTGTTTTCTCTATTGTCTGAGAGCTTTTCAGTGACTAATTATATATTCTCTCTGACTCCAGCCGTGGATGCAGTCTGCTCATGAGCTGTTAGACTTCTTGGTGTCTCGTGAAGATGCCACGCCCTTCCGACACCCTGTAGATCTGAATGATTTCCCGGTGAGTTTACTTGTGAACCGAGGGTGTTTAATCGTAAGAAAGGACTCCAAAAAGAAAAGGTAGTGAAGCAGGAAGGAACTCGCCTTAAACTGATTTTGTGTGTGCATGTTTATGTGTGTGGTCAAACGAATGTGTTTTACACTATCTTAACCGTTTTAATGACAAGAACGCTTCATTGAAATTAAATTAGCCCTGGTTTCTCGTTCAACCCTAAGCAATACCAGCCTAACTTAAAACCGTTAATATTTGCTTTTTGTGTTAGGACTACACCGAGGTAGTGGCCGAACCGATGGATTTCAGCACCGTTTATCGCCGATTAGAAGACAACTTGTATAGCGACCCGGAGACTTTCGTCCGAGATGTGCGCTTGATTTTCTCGAATTCAAGAGCATACAACACCATGCCGCGTTCACGGGTAAAGCGATATTATCTGACTTGTGTGAAAAATTGGTGACGCTTGTGGCGCGAATAAAATTAGTACTGACAACTTTTGATACTCGAGGTGCAGCATAGATAAGGAACATGCCATCAGTCTGATAAATTTTGTTTTTTTTTTGTTTTTTGTTTTTTGTTTTTTTACCCCTTATTCGCCCAACAAACAAAGAGGAAGAGAAGATGACCGACCCAGAAAGCGACGTTATTCGCAGAATTAAGGTTCTTTGCCCCATCGTTTGGTAAAATATTTCTCTGTTGGCAAACTTCACTTGAGACGTATAATCATTTATAGGTTTCCACGACGTTGGTTTCATATCAAGTAAGCACCCGTACGATGGTACATCTCTCATTTGATTGATATTGTAAGGAAAAGTTACATAATAATCTGCGTATTTATTCTCTCAGATCTATGGAATGACTATTCGTCTGGCCGCCATGTTTGAGGATCGTGTGGACAGCGTATTGAGAGACTGGTACGAGGCTGCGTCAGGTGGTGCCCGACGCACCAGGTTACGGACCATGCGGTTGCTAGAATCACAAGCACCAAACACCAATAGTGTGTCACGACATCGTACATCCCATTCGGGACACCAGGCTGCCTCCAATGCAGCACATTACTCAGGCGTTAATTCCGGCGTAGATTCTCTTAGCGCACGAGAGAGCAGAACTCGTTCAATAGGCACGCGTGCCTCTTTTACGTCAGATTCAGAACACAGAAACGGTTTCGGTCACGCCATTACTTCAAGGACAGAAACCCGAACAAGCTCTCGGGTCAGCTCCCAATCCCGTATTGAACGGGATAACGATAGCGTTTTTGATGATACAGGAAGTGGGAGACAGACTAGATCAACAAGGTCAAGTGCACGGCGCGAGCTTGTTATGCGTTTCTCTGCTTCAAGGATACAACAGAATAGACAGGAGGAAAGTGTTTCGAATGGGCCGCCGGCGAGTAGGTATTCAACGCGCAGAAGCACGTCCTTAGCGCGGGGTTCTTCTAGTGTAAACGGAGAAGAGAGTGACGACGAAGGAGAAGAAGAAGATGGAGACGAAGAGGAAGAGGGTAGCGACGAAGAAGAAGAAGAAGAAGAAGAAGAAGAACAAGGTGAAGGAAGCGATGAAGAGAGAGGAGATGAAGAACAAGACGAGGAAGAAGAAGAAGAGGAGGAGGACGAAGACGATGAAGAGGAAGATGATGAAGATGAAGATGAAGAAGAAGAAGAAGACAGTGACGACAGCGCTGTGCAGTCAAGACAGCAAACTCGTCGAAAGGCAGCTCGACCTACTCACCGGCCCACCGTGACAATGCGGCCAAATTCAAAGCGCTCTGCTAAGAGTGGTGCGTCTCGCTCAGACAAACGAAAATCGAATGCGAGTTCTTCTCGTAGGACTAGCGACGCGTCGCAAAGAAATGAAACTCCTGCGCCTTCGCGACGAAGTTTACGGAGAAATTCGTCTGCGCGTCGCGTGCATTACAACGAAAATGACTCGGACAGCGGAAGTGATTCGCCTGGAAACGAAATTATTGGAGTTTCCAGTCGTGGTAGGGTGAGGAAACCAGCTATAAGAATGCAGGATTATGTTGAGTAAGCGATCCTTCAATTTACAATTGGAGTCCGAACGTCGCCTGGTGTGAGGCTTGAAGGTTATGTCCACAGAATTTACTTGGAAGGCGAGCAGAAGAAGTTGAAAATATGGTTCTTTATCCGCGAGTATTATAAAAAGAGGGCGGTATAGGAGGTTGTAGGTTGATTTAACAACCACTTGCGGTAAAAAAAAATTCAAAGATCGCCATTCCCATTCGCATTTTGATCCGAGTGAAAGGGATTGAACGGATAAGTGATTCACTGAAGTACCATGGTACAGTTAGAGGAAATTTTCTTCTTTCTTGTTCTGTCAGTCACGCAAAGGTACTAAGTGATTTGAGGCAGCAAATGGAATAAATAACGCGAACTAATATTGAAAGTTACTATTCTTTTTGCAAATGAAGGAAATATTGAACCAGTGGACGTTTTGTATTTTTTGTATCCATAAGTGCTTCGTCACAATCCGATTTAAAAACGCTACGTTTCTCTGTGACGGCTGGAATTTTAATTAGGTCTTTTCCTCAACATACAGGCATCTGAAAGCTTTATTACTTGAACTTTGCAATGCTCTCTAATCTGTTTACGTGATCCAAACTTGTTCATGATATTTCTCTATCCTTGTGTTTATAGTGCTAAAGGGAATACTTGAATGTTATATAATACTGGTATTATATATTCGTCATCCATTCGTTATGTACCGGAATTTTTCGCGTTTCTTGTGCGCATATCCATTAGAGAATAAGACATTCTTCTTTTTTCTTTGTTTCTTTCGCGCTTTTGTAAGAGACCCCGGCTTGCGATGAACTTTATATGAATTACTGCTTGCAGCGTCTGTTGCTCTGCATTAACAGCCATTTTGGTTGCATTTATTAATGAAATAAACGTAATTCTACAATGCTTATATGTGGTGTTTGTGTTTCTCTTGGAAGACTTGCAAAGTCAATAGTTGGCGGGGAGCAGTTGTTGGCAGTAGAGGCAGAGACGAGATTTACGGTCGAGGAAGATTTTCCAGATTCCGTTATCTTTTTAGGGGTAATCCAATTACATGTTACTAAATCGGGAGAAGTTTTGTAATAAAGGGTGTTTCAAAAATTTTTTTCGGTCTGTACCAGGTTCTCGGTTAATGAAAAGGGAGCAAAAAAGCGGACGCGCGAAAGCTGAAGAGTCAGGCGTAACCATTTCTTTGACAGTAGCAACCGCCTTTTGTCGTTCGCCCGTTCACTTATCCACCCTATCTGCTTGAGAGCCCGGAACACTCTTTCAAAACTAGATGTATCCATTTGTTACACGAACAGTGCGAGTTACACAAAAGACGATGTAAAACTCTCCTCAGAGCCTGGGTTTGTACGTATTCACCGAATAAGACCCAAAAGTAATAACGTGAAGTTTTAAAAACCAAATAATTATTGGAAATGTTTTGTAAAGTGGGAGTTGAATAGAAATATATTTACCCAAACGAGGTGAAATCCTTCCAGAAGAAGGATGAAACCTATCGTTATTTATCAGAGAAGGAGCTTCATGCGGGGTGTCTGGGGGAGGGGAGGATTTTGGGTGGATCACCTGGTCATCAAGGAGATCAGTCGTCGCCAGCAGAGTGTAAAAGGGGACGGATCAATATTAGTCAGGGGGAGACTGACTGCTAATAAGGGGGAATCACAGTATAATAATACTACAGAGCCTTTGGGGGGATCAGGTAAATTTTATCATGACAACCAAAATCCTCCGTAAATCCCCCGCCCCCGATAAATACCGGTCCGTAATCTGTTCCAAGAAGCGACGTCAGCCTTGAGGAACACTCAACGTCGAACTAACTAACCTAACTAGTTGCTGAAGTATAACAGGTTCTACTCTCTCACCGACGCAGCACCACAGTTTCTTTAAGAACTTACCTTTTATTAACTGCTGAAGTAGCTGGCTAGTTGCGAACAGCAAGTGCTTCTTGCTACGTATTCAGATGTCGACCTTCAGAAAACTGGTGAGTAAATTTTCTTCGGAGATCTAGAACGCCGGTCTACAGGCTTAAGTTGTTGTCTCATTCGGTTCAGAGCTCTGACCATGTTCCCTGGTTTAGGCAGCGAAGGACAGATATGTTCATCTATCCACTCCTTCAGCAGTTTCATTCACTACAGTTGACGCCAAAACAAGATCTTACCTGTTACCAGTTATGACACAAATAATATAGGTTAATACACAAATTAACAGCGTGTAAAAAATTAACAGCCTTATTTAATAGACTGTGAAATCGTAGAATTTGGCAAATATATTTTCCTGTTTCACACGAGCCTGGATCTGACTTGGTAGCGAGGTGGCCGCTTAATGGCCGCTTGGGTGACCTGTGGTTAGCTGTGGTTTTGATTAGGGAAGGCCTGGAATCGACTTTCAAAGATAACGTACTGCAGGCGCGGATACTATTCTCGAACAATTATTCTGTACTAAACATCGATGAGCAAGTAAAGGCCATGAATTCTAGCCTTGAAACCGAAAACATGCCCGCAGAAACGACACAGGTGACACATTTAGAGTTTATATTGTCATATTCAGGGTCAAAATCCCTTATAAATGCGGATGAATTTTCTTGATTCTAGAACGGTGAATCCCACCTGGAAACGGCGGCGGAAGTGGCGCACAAACCAACGGTTGAACTTGGTAGCGAAAAGGCGTCAAAAATCACCGAAAAAAGTGCCAAGAACCCCGATACAAAGCCAGCAAAAAGTAACAAAAAGCTCAAGGAAGAAGAAAAAAAGCTTAGTAAGTTCGAAAGTGACAAGTTTAAAACATTTATGTTCTCTGGTGACGCGAACGAGGCGCGATGCAACTGCATTTGAACCAACTGAATAAAACCTTTTTTGAGAGGATGTTAATAAGTTTATGTATTTCTCGATTCCTTTCCATTAATTCTATTGACCTGTTCTTACAGTTATTCTGATTAACATATGTCTTTTGACCCATTTCGTAGAGTTATTATTCAAATCATTCGAAGATTTGGAAAATCCCGAAGCGAAAATGGACGCCCTTGGCAGGAAACATTTGCAATTGGTAAGAAATGGTATTGATTTAGACCTCTGCAGTTCACCTAAAATCTTCCAATTTCTCTAATAGCTTTAATATGAGCATTTTATAACTACGGTTGCTCACTTTTGGTACAAGGCTTTAATTTATCGTAATCAACGAAACCCGCCGAGTAATTATTGTGATTATTATTATGGTAATTATTATATTAAGCGATTCGAACTTGCAAAACTTATTTTAATATGTCATCATCTCGCGGGCATTGGAATCGATCGCCCTAAACAAGCGAGTTTTTCAGCTCTCGCACCAAATGTTTGTACATCGATACACCCGTTTTTGCGTGACTCTTAATGTGCGCAGTTAGATATCAATTCAACCCGGGTGGTCGTAAGTGATATTAACCGTACTTGTAATCAAGTATTCCATTTGAATTTTTGTTCTATTATTTCATTAAAAGCAAGAAATATTGAGTTAATAGCTTGTACCTCCTCCAGGGTTGTCACCCCCTCTGTCCTCTGTTCTTTTTTTTGTTTTTGTTTTTCTTATTGAGATCAGCGTGTTGGCATGTATGTCCAAAACGTAATCATCAGAAAGTACCTTTTCAATTGTGATTCTTTTAATGAGGATAAAATTGGGACCTATTATAAACTGTAAAACAGCCAATTCAATTAAAAAAAAAAGTTGAGCAAAACTGTGAGTAAAGCTGCAGAAATCTGAATAAGCATTAGAGGAGGGCAATAAATCCTTAAAATTTCCAAAAACAGAAATATCCAGAAACTGTATTTTGGTTCCTTTGGAAAGCCCTCTTTTATTCTTTCTGACAATGATTGTCGATGTTTGAATGACATTCTTACTCATCTACCCAGTTATGTCATTTACCTCTCTTTATTTTCTTTATTTTTTGCAGATATCAGAAAATAAAATCACAGAAGTAAGGAAAGATGAATTAGAGAAGAGATTGGAAAAGGTAAAGTGGAGCCATCATATGTTATATCTTCATAACACAGAAAATTTTCAGCTCATGTCCTTTTCTGTTTGACTCAATCATGTCTCAACTCTTCTCCCTGAGCATTGCATTCCTTTCCAGTTCCTACAAGGTAGACTACCAAAACTGGATTATTGTCATAAAAACATGTCATTTATTGAATTAACTTGGACCATTTTGATTCAAATGAGCTTCCATATGAAAACAATAAAGATAAAAAAGGGATTCAGTGAATTTGATGTGGCTTGCATTGTTTAACTCTGGAGTCCAATACTCACATTTCAATTGCTTCATATAGTTCTTCACATGATGCCTCAAATGATAATTGATATTTTGTTAGACAGTCGCAGATATCAGTTTGCATTCCTGAACACCAGGCTAGAAAACAGAGCTACACAGCGTATAAATTAACTGGCTCAGAAGTTGAAGGATGCTTCTTTGGTTATCTCTTTCATGTCAAAGAGTTATTAATGAGCAACTTCTCCTCACATGTCCATATTTTTTTCAGTAAAGATGGTGGTCACGCATTCTCTTTGGCAATACATTTAGTTCTGAGAATTTGGTGTTCTGTCAAAATGATATTCAATGGTTAAAAATATCTGAGATATCAGATAATTGGATAGTTGCCAGGAGGAGAACTTACATTTTGATCAGATACAAGGGTACACTTGTACATGGAATGTTGTGATGATAGAAATAAATGGTGGGTTGGAGAATTAATAGGGAATGAATGTGACTCTTGGAATATCAGGGTGCTTATCTTGTTGAAATTTGTGGTTGAAATTTTATAGGTCTCACGAGAAAGAGATCAGCTGCAGTCAGAGTTTAACAAAGCAAGTCTGGCCAAAAACAAGTTGGAAAGTCTCTGCCGAGAATTACAACGTCACAGCAAACTTGTTAAGGTGCTTGCTTAGAATTTTATACCATATGAGGATTTATCCCTCTAACATGTACAAAGTTTTCTTATCATTTAATAGTGGGACACACAGAGGTTTTGTAGGGGCTGTCAGTAATTTTTGAAGCTGCTATTATGTTGGACATATCATCAGTAGTAGTGTAATATGCCAGGAAGTACAACATGGCAGCATCAACATGCTCATCCATGAAATCACATTAGCTCAGACACAACAGGTTTTACAGGTTATGGCCCTAATTGACAGCCCTGCTTTTTAAGTCTTAATGAAACTCCTTGTTCCCCTCTCAGTATTGAGATTTTTACCAGCAATCCAATGTTCCTGCTTTGAACATTAACAAGTGGGAAGAAGGAAGTGTTTTAACAATTGTGGTAATGATTTTAACAACATGTAATGGTTAGCCAGCTGGATGCTAGATTGAGAAGTTGGAGTTTAACCATGATTGCATCATTGTGTTGTGCAAATGTGAATGTTGTGATATATTCTGAGTTTGGAAATTGTAACATTCAAGAATTTTTGTATTCTTTCTCATCAGGAAGAGAGTCAGCTACGCTCCCAAGAGGAGGAAGCCAAACGAAAGGAACTTTCAGAAAAGTTTCAGACAACAATCAATGACATCTCTGAACAAATGCAAGAAAACTTCAAAGCAAACCAACAGCTGAAAACTGAAAACAATGAGTGAGTAATCTGAAGACTTAAAATAACTCTTAAAAATCAACCTTGAAGTATCCAAATCAAAGCCAAAAAGGTTTCTTTAATCAATGTTCTTTCTCATTACCTACAAATATAAGTACTGAAAACATATCCTCTGCATTCAATTTTAATGTGGTTTAAAGTTGTCTGTTTTCATTTTAAACAGACTTGCGACTAGACTGAAAGGCTTGGTTGAACAATATGAAGTTCGTGAAGAGGTAACATACCTAACTATGACCAACATTTGAATACAGATGCTGTTATTAAGTTAAAAAAATAAAATAAAATGGAAGAGGTATTTTAGGTGAAATTTGAATAATAATCTAGAAAAATTGTGGAAGTATAGAATTAAATTTTTTTTTTGAATGATTTTGCAAATTCTGACCACTATACAGTCAGGTGATTAATAGTTTAAATCTCTCACAAGAAAGATTTAAGTCAGTCACGAGCTTTGTCTAAATACATTATTAAGTTGGGTGATTAATAAAAAACATCTTTCTTCAACTGAAGATTCCTGTACATGTTATGATGATATCCATGTATGAATAATAGCCAGTTTCTATACCTGTGATTTGTTTATGGTTCAGGAATTTCTAAGATCTTTTGAAAATCTTCAAAACCAAGTGTGTACTTTCCTTTTCTAGCACGTGGAAAAGGTATTCAAGCACAAGCAGCTTGAGCTGCAGTTAGCAGAAGCAAAAATGGCCCAACAAAATCTGAAGTTTAATGAGGATAAGGAGAAGACCTTGACAGAGAACCAGTTGGTAAGAATACTTCATCTGTAACTTAAATGTAAATCACAAGAAGAAAAGGGATTTGCTTTCTTTTACCTTCTTTGGATTAAGGTCCAAAAACATAGTGAATAGGGTTTTTTTTCAAAGGTTTATTTCACCCTTTGACTCCAAAGATCTCACTACCTTTTTCTCCTACAACCTGCTATACATTTTATTGTGGTTTATTTAGCTTTGAGAATTTATTGTTAAATCAGTCAAAATCCCCTTCTTTTTAGTGTGTGTACTGAGGAAAATTTTCAAGGAAACTAGCAGATTTTTTTAGCTGTCAGCTTCCACAGTGTACATGTATTAGCAACACAAAGTAAATTATTTGAAGGAAGATTTTGTTGGGTGGTTTTTACTTTTTGAAGTAAATTGTGTCATTCCATTACTCACATGTTCATCAAAGAGTGGCACTAAAATTGTATGGATTAGTGGTCGATAAAAATTGTGGGAAATTGTGAAGGAAATTTCCTCTCCCTTGTACATTTCTTTTTTTTAGTTTTGTTTTGTTTTTTTGTATTCTCTTTGCCTGACATTGCACTCTTTCTTTCTTCTTGTTTTTTTTTTTTTTTTGTGGTTATCCAGTTGAATAAGCAAGTGGTAGAGTATAAGAAGCAGTGTGACATCTTGACAAAACAGGAAGCAGAGATGAAATCACAGGTAACATGAGGAAATGATAAAGTTCTGTAATATTGCTTTGTTAGGGTTTGTGATTGTTTCAGTGGCCTTATCATTAGAACACTGGACTCCTGTTTGAGAAATACAAAAGGAACCTCTTGCTGGGTCTTAATATTGCACACTACTTTTTTGACACTTGGCACAGTACCTCCCTCCATCCAGGAATAGAAATAATACCAGCAAATTGTCAGCACAACCTGACAACATCCAGTTATTAACTTACAATTTTCAAGCAACTTATCTGAGGATAGTTACAGAAATAAGCTAGCTGCTACAGATCACTTTCAGATCACAGCTTTTCAAGCTCAGGGTTCAAGATGGAAATTTTTCCTAGGGTGTTGGAATATTAGCAACTAACCTGTGAATCATGTAGTTCATGAACCAAATAAATTGCTTATTATTAGTGTTTGAAATCACCTCCATTTTGATCACTTCATTTCTTACTGATATAAAGTTCTTACTCTCTCTCATTACTAGCTGGCAATGTATGCAGAGAGATTTGAGGAATTTCAGAAAACACTCAATAAGAGCAATGAAGTATTTTCAACATTCAAGAAAGAAATGGATAAGGTTTGTAAAAAGAAGTTTTATTCACACAAATATCACAAGACATTTTTAGGCCCCTGTAGTGTGGGGCTACCTCTACAAAAAGTACATTACACCTCCTGGTGAGGCCAATTAGTGAGAGGGGGGGGGGGGGTGCAAACTTGCAATGTGGTGATGGGGGAAAAATCTCTGGATACCTCTATACAGGGACGCTCTATTGCAACACAGTGGAATGTCACAGTAGAGTGGAGCCACATCAGGATAAAACCACCTGGTGGGGCAAACTTGTATAACCTTTGTACCTGTGGCCTTCATGGAGGGACTCCTTTATTTAAGGGACACATTTCCTTGTCTTAAGGGTGTCCCTTGAATAGATCATCTATTGCATAACCTTTGTACCTGTGGCATTCTTGGAGGGACTCCTTTATTTTAGGGACACATTTCCTAGCCCTAAGGGTGTCCCTTGAATAGATCATCCAAAGTATAACCTTTGTACCTGTGGCTTTCATGGAATGACTCCTTTATTTAAGGGACACATCTTTTTAAGCCAACTGGTGTCCCTTGAATAGATTATGCACTGTATAACATTTGTGCCTGTTGCCTTCAAGGAGGAGCTCTTTATTTAAGGATACACTTTGTACCTGTTGCCTTCATGGAGGGACACCTTTATTTCAAAGGACACATTTTCTAGTCTTTAGGGTGTCCCTTGAATAGACTATCTACTGTATAACCTTTAGTACCTGTCATTTTCTTTGCAGGGACACCTCTATGAAAGGTTATTCCCCCCCCCCCACTTACTTTGTTTCCAGCCTCTCTTTTGTTCAGCATATTGATTGCGTGAATTCTTTTATCACCTTCTTGTAGATGACAAAGACGATCAAAAAACTGGAAAAAGAAAAAGTAACGTGGAAAACGAAATGCGAAAACAGCAACCGTTCATTGGTGCAAATGGTAGATGAGGTAAATCTTATTACACTTAAGGATAAAACCTCTTATTTCGATGCATTTTTTAGTTTAGAAATTGACGGTATTCTGAGTTGATTTGCAGTGAAACCGAAACCCTTTTGGGCTTCTTGTTGTACATAGGCGTTATTTTGGTAGATTTGACTTTAGATCATGACCGTTTTGGGGTATTCAATGAAGTAAAAGGAAAGTGAGTTTATTTAACGTATTTTTTTGACCACCTTATTCAGCGTGAAAAACAGAAAAAAGAAATGGCTGCTTTGCGATTGAAAAACGACAAGCTTGAAAACCTTTGCCGTGCGCTGCATAAGGGAGCCAAAGTCACAGCTGGCGACTTCAGCAAGGTAATCAATTACTGAGTTAGACATAATGATATTATTCGTTTCTCCTTCTCTTTGAGTTTCGTCGTTTCCCTCATTTAGCCGCGAGAGCAAAAGCGAGGGAAAATGGTGGTGCTAAAAGTGTAAGACTAAAAGTGAATTACAGCCTTACTCACGTAATACTTGCGTGTAATAATCTTTTTTCGCTCGTTCTCGGAAGGGCCATTTCCTCAACTCTGTCAATGAATTGGTTTCTTACTTGGTACTCTCTTGAAATCTTTGTTTACAAAGGATATGTTTTTTTTTTTAGGCCAAGGAAACCAGTTCCCCCATTTCTCACCCAGATGTCGAAAGTTCCGACGTTACAAGTACAAAACAGGAAAACTGCGAGGAAACAACTTCTGGAGAAGAGGTAATATCGAGTAAAGAAACGACTGAGGCGCCTGAGGAGCAAGAAATCGAGAAAAGAGACAACACAACTGAAGAACGAAACTCTGATGATTTTGTTCACAACACGAACAGTGACGACGAACCGGATGCTGAAAGTACGATTGAATCCGACGATTCTCCGATTGCTTCCGAGACGACTTCGGGCATATCCCCCGAAACATCCAATACTTCCGACGAATTTCCGACTGAGTGCGAAATTAAAACCGATGACACAGAAGTAACTTTGGCTGCAAATGATGGTGAAACTGGAATTCACGATGGTTCGAACGGATGAATATTTTAAATTATGTAGAGACAATTGATTATAGGAAGCCCAAAGCTTACTGTTTGCCTCTGTAAATTAAAACGAACTTATCGCAAATGAATCGTTCAATTTTGTTGTAATTTTTATACTAGTTTTATACTTGAACCTCGATAAGTCAGAAAACGGTTTGGATTTTTAACGATGCACGAATTCGTCTGTAGCAATGATAGAAAATGTTTGTCTTGTTGCACAAAATAGAAGACATCAATCACGTCTGAAAGATACTTAGAAAATTACTTTTTTTCATAATATTTATATTTGAGGAAGCAAAATAAACGAATTACTGGAAGGAAAAGGCAGCATGTAGTTCTTAAATCGCGTTAAAAACGTACAATTGCTTCCCTTGCGTGGTTATTACTTTAACTCTCGCATCCGTTGATGTCTAATTTTGCGTCAACTGTAAAATCGTGGCGGGTTTTTTTATCAATTATTACTCAGGAAGGCGCAAGAAAAGCTTCTATTTACTCGACGACTAGTAATCATATGACACTAGAAGTCTTGTGTAAACGTTGTACATTTGCGGGTTGTCAAGCTGCGATTTTATTTTGGGTAATGGAAGAGTATTTCATGTCATTCGTCGAGCGTGCAGCAAATAGAAGATTTTCAGCTGTATTTGTCTTTTTACTTATGAATCGCCTGTTGCACAAAGACAAACACCATGAAAACTTCATCAAGGTTTATTTTCAAAGATGGGCAGCAAAAGAGCGGTTATAAAGCGAGCTTCGCCTTCCGCTTTGCGCTGCGCCGCGAATTAAACCAATTTACTTTGGTGCAGTCACGACAAAATGAAGAAATCTCTATGGCAGAGTTGTTTACTTTCGGATGTTCGAGATTATTTGGATTGCAAGATCAGCTATATCCGTTCCAAAGACGAACTTTTTAAAAGTTTGTTTTGGGTTATTGATTTTATGTGGTCGCAATATTACCAAAATCTTTTTTAGACATTTCCTGATATACGTCCTCTGACATACTTCAGATTATTAGCTTGCGAGAAATATCCAAGTAGAGAAAGTAATTCTTTAACTATGATCCGGCACCTGTCTAAATAGAACCTAATTAAGAATTTGCCTTAGGTAAGAATGAATTTCATAATCACAAGCGCTTTCAAGCCAGTGTTATCAGCCATTCTGACAAGCCGTTTCAGTGCACCAATAACTCTTTAGTTTTGGTCAAAATTTTTTAGATCCTTGCAATGGATTCTTCTCCTTCGCTGCAAGGGAACACTGAAAGTTCTCCCACAACAAGCCCTCCGGTAGACCCACAGGAATTCAATTTTACAGCGGCAATGATGTGTGTGGTCATTTTCCTGGCTTTGTTCGGCAATGGTTTGGTGATAGCGGCGTTTCACAGATTTCACCAACTTCGCACAGTTACCAACTACTTCGTTGTTTCGCTTGCGGTAGCGGACATTCTCGTGGCGTCACTTTCTATGCCAAGCTGGATGTATATCCAACTATCGCATCTTTCAAAGATTCCCCAACAAAAACTACTTGCGAAGGTGCTTTACTATTCGTGGCAATACGTGGATATTCTATGCAGTACAGCATCCATAGTGAGTCTTTGTGTGATCAGCGTTGATAGGCATTTAGCGATCAACTCGCCGCTTACTTACCACAGCAGAATGACTCCAAAGCGAGCCCGCACCGCCATAGCGTTAGCATGGCTCTTCGCCTTCGTTTGTGCCAGTTTATCGATTGTAACGGTGGAGCAAAATTTCAACCCAACGGCGGGACAGGTCTACGCGTGTTTTATCTCTATTGCGGCATTTTTTATTCCTTTCTTCATCCTTATTGTGATGTATAGTAAAATTGGCTGCGTGGCCGTGCGACAAGTTCGACAAATTTGCGCTGCCAATTCGGGAATTCAACACGGAATTCAAAGAGAACACAATATGACTTTTCGAAATGAGCTTAGAATCACCAAGATGCTGGGGATAGTGATTGGGGCGTTTGTTTTGTGTTGGGGTCCGTTCTTTTCAATTGTTCTTTTGTACGCGGTCTGTCGGCAAAACTGCCCGAATGACCACGGCTGGGTAGCTATTAGCAAATGGTTGCACTACGCAAATAGCACATTCAACCCTCTTATTTATATGCTTTTTACGCCGACTTTTCGCAACGCATTTCGAAGGCTTCTAGTTCGAGGGTTTTGTTGCTTAAAGTTACCGCACGGTGGATCCCGTTTCAACTTGAACATTTGGAAGAAGGGAAGTGTTGAGCCCAGTGAGTATTTTTCGGCGAGAACTTTTCAAGAAACTACTGAAGTACAACCAAGAAAAACAGAGGATGGGTTTAATGAAAAGAACTCAAACGTGGAACTCGAAAAAACTCGCCAACTGACGGATTCCACAAACACTTGACACTGTTTGATTTGATTTTTAAAAACACCATGCTTTATTAAAAAAATAATGTAAATCCCCAGTCTTAAAAGCCAAGTCGCACTTATAGTTTCCTATTTAAAGGGGTTGTGTATACATCTTTGCGAGTAAAAGTAAAAAATACAAACAGGCCTCTTTGCTTCGCTAATGAACAGTTTTAAGTTTCACTAGAAAATGTCTTTGCTACCTCCGGTAATAAAAAAAAACTAATGCATAAACGTTTAAAGCCTAGATTATTTGGTTCTTTTTTGTCTTCGTTAAAAGCTAAGCTATTTCAGTTTCACATTTTCAAAGGAAATACTCCCCTCTCGATGTAACGGCAAGCTTTTTTACCATTATCGTATGCAGACAAAGATAAATTCGATCATGTAACTGAAGCGTCTCTATTTCAGAGCACTGGCGTTAAATACGTGGGTCGGAGTCGGAGTTTAAGTAAAAATGATGGCAAAAACGTCTTTAAAGCAATATATTTAACGAAATTCTGCAGAACGCAACTACTGATATTCCCATCGAGTGTTTCCATGGTAACAAAAAACGAAATTGTACCAGCGTAATGGTTTCAGTCAATGGAGGAATACTAATGTTTTGATTTTAGCTAATTGATATTTTAAGTGTTTTCTCTCGTAAATTGAGTTTAATAGCGCTCTTATTTAAGAAAAAAAATTAACTCCCCGGCTTTTCATAAGTACACAATGCTTTTGCAGTTGGTGGCTCACCGAAAAATGTTTTAAAATACGTTAAATTAATTTTCTGTATTACCAACATGGGTTTTATCTCCCAAAAGGGAACAGTTCTCGGTATGCTGTATGCTTTATATAATAAGCCGCTGAATAAAGTTCTATTTACTCCTGTTTTATAATCATAGACAAGAACAGACATAGGTTACATCTTGAAATCGCATATGTGCTGCATTGACTTAGCTTTGATTATCGAACAAAGCGCAAGTATGTTCGAAAATTGAAGCTTTTTGGTGATGTGGTTGTATTTAGTTAATTAGCAAGATTACCATGGGTTCCTCTATTTTGGTTTCCCTTTTAATTTTTATTTGTCTTCCTACAAAAATTATTATTGTTTTCCCCTAACGATGTTTCTCTTGATTCTAATAACCTCAAAGTTTCTTTAGGCGCTAGTAACTCTCCATATTGAATATAATTTAAGTCCTATTTTGTTGGCGGGTTAGGAGAGGAAAATCGATGATTTACTCAGATACGTGACCGTCCGATAAAAATTAACAAAAAGGATGCCAGCATCAGCTCTCTCTGAATAACGAAATGGAAAAAAATCTTCACAAAAATTCGCATGGCAGCCACAACAGATCTTAAATAAAAAAGGGTCATTCCTTCTGATGTAGTGATTGCCAATCGGAACTTGTCCGCATGCTTTTCTCCACATTTAAGGTCGTGCACATATATGATTCTCAATTTGATTTGCTTTGTTCTGATAGAGACGTCTTTAATTCTGGTTTTAAGACTTGAATCACCACCGCAATAAATAGACTAAAAATTGCTAAAACAGCCATGAATATGACACCAATGCAAGTTTTTTGAACCAATTTTATTTACCCACAAAGACAGGTCACTTCTTGGTAAATTTTAAATCTATTCCTTTTCTTCGTTTGTACCATTTTTTCCCTTCCTTTTATTGCTTCATTCCTCGCCATCCCACACTCCTCCTACTGGAATTTCCTCTGGTTTGTACATCCAGCACATTTTCAAGTATCGATGACGTATGCCAATGTTTTGAATCGCTTTCATGTCATCTTCATCTAAGTTTACATGAATTGCATCAAGGTTCTCTTTGATATGATTTTCAGAAACGGCCTTTGGGAGGACTGGAGTACCACGCTTGATACCCCAGGCAAGAGCGACCTGCATTTAGACAAGAAAAAGACAAAGACTTGAGTCTTAGCTCCCAAAAACTTCACTACGCTCTGTCTCTTATGTAAGCTCTTGTTATGTGAAGGAGAAAGACCTGCAAAGCCTCTAAGTTGGTAAGGATCACCAGGGAACATGTTCAAAAAGAAAAATTCACGTTGAAGAAACGGGCTAAGAAGCATGCGTCATTGACCAGGAGAAAAGTCAAGATGGCTATAGCCTGTATACAATAGCTGACGGTTTTGAGGAAGCCTTTTACGGCAGCGGAGCTGAAAAACACGCTACAAAAAGGCGAGAGGTATGCATGAGATCGACACACTTGCGCGTATCTCCACCGCTCTTTTCGAGGCGCCGACGGCGTAATTGTGATGGAACGCCCTCTTGCTAAACTACGTCGTAAGATGGCTATATGCTGATTAAGATTTGACTTAAAAAGAAAAAAACATCAGGCCTGGTCACTATACTATACGTGTAGCCGTACCCTCCTTCCTCCCCTTAAGGTGAAACGGAAGCGAGGGAACGTCTACGAAAACCTGATACTAGACGTTTGATCATGAGAGCATTCTATTCACCATCTTGTTCGTTAATGTGAAAGAAAACTAAAAAACTCTAGCCAATCAGAATTCACGAAAGAATCGACAAAATGGGTTAACCAATAAAACGTCACTGTAAATTTTCTTACAAAAGAGTGGAGTTACAGAACACAATTTGAGTCAGGTTTTCGTAGACGTTCCCTACCTTCCGTTTCACCAGGAGGGGGGGGGGGGAGGGTACGGCTTCACGTAGGCTATCCCAAGCAACTCAGCAACACAGACTACACCATATCGTGTCCACCCTTAAAGGAACTGAGGTGTTCAACACATTTTAAACTTGAGTTTTTAAAAAATGTGTGGCGATAGGTAGTCGCTCTGAAAGACGTTATTTAAACTTTTAATAAGCGTTTTTAATTTAAATAATAAATGGTAGAAACAATTATAACAAAGACTAACTATAACTATTTTTTTAGCTCAGTTCAAAAATCTATAAAACTGACTCGAACATAAATCAGATTTAAATGCTCCCGTTTCTTACCAAGGCAGCAGTAGTGTTGTGTTTTTCTGCAATTTTTGTCAGCACTGGATTCTCTAGCACTACTGGCTCTGTTGGGTTGACAACTGGTCTGTCTGGGGAACCCAGCGGAGAATACGCCGTCACAGCGATTCCTAAAGGATCAGTGCACAAAACAATACATGACGTTCACATATCATTCAGAAAAATACAAAAAAAAAATAGAACTCTTGCTCAGCAGCTGGAGGGTGAATAAAACAACAACTACATCAACCACAACAAGATCGAAAATAACTTAATGGTATATTAGGATTTAAAGAGTTTTTTTTTCACCTTTACTCGTGGAGAAAGATATTAGTTCATCCTGATGTAAATATGGATGAAGTTCCACTGCAAAATTAAAACAGAAAAATCAACTCAACGCCGGTTATAACCAGGCAGCTAATCTCCATGCACATCTGTTACTCAGAGAGAACGGGTCATGTGGTGCACTAGATCTCCTGTTTGTCAATAAAATTGGCAATTTATCAATAATACTAAAACGTCTTGGCCGGCCACCATCTTAAAAGACTAGTCGCTCTCTCTCCTCCCTAAGTGTCTCTCTGACCAAGGGAAACATAGGGAGGAGATTGCCTAGAATACTACCCATCGCTGTTACAGATGAACCATATTACAACAAAATCCAGGCGATTCCACTTTCATAGACGGTTTTGAGGACTATCTGAGCATGATTCTTGGCTTGATACCTTGATTACAAGCTGGCGGTATTCTTGCAGTTTCTAGAAGAGTCTGAGTCTTCTTGATAGTGAAGTTTGAAATTCCAATGGCTTTGCAGAGGCCTTTATCGACAAGTTCTTCCATTGCCTGCAGTTATAAAATAGGTACGCATGACGTGCATGTGTAGTTAACGAATTGACATGGTTGCAGGAAAAGAGAAAAAACTTATATCGTTGAATCACTGTGATTAATAAAGTGTTTAACAAAGTTTAGATACTTATGATGGAAAAAAAAACAAATAGAAATATTTCACTATGATACTAGATCGAGGGAGAAAACAGTCGCCTAAGAAATGACGCCAGCAACACACCAATCACAACCGGACACAGTGTCGTTGAACCACTCGACTCGTTCGGTTCCTCTTTTCAATGAACAAGCCTTACAAACGGTTTTGTTTTATGATCGCACAAGAATGAACCGTTAGTTTTTCAGTCTAAAGCTAATCCTTTCAGTCATGCCACAAAGGTGGACGCTTTCATTCTCGACTGATACCGGACAGCTTGTCCCTGAGAGCAAATACAAAGTTTAATCCAAAATTTTGTTTCTGTCTGATATACGTTTGTGGCTTTAAATGAAGGTGCCCTGAAAGGGCAGTTCCGGTCTTGAATTCTTTGATTTCTTGTGCGCGACAAGAGAGCACATTTTGGGAATAGAGAGGAAAAAGGAGAACAATAAGTTCGCTCCGCGAAGATTGGGTAGACATATTTTTATTTGATTGATTGATTCTCGTATCTTAGCATACCTTCCAAGTACTTGCTATGCCTTCAGGCGAATAGCCAATCACACCATCTGCAATGCACCGCGTGGGGACTTTTGCGTCTTTCTTGAAAGCGCAAGGGATATGTACCTAATTAGAAACAAGGGAATGAAGCAATACTCTCACTTTTCTTTGTAATTCATATAGACATACTGTATTATGGTCAAACCAGTTGTAATCAGACTACAATTCATATAATTTTACCAGGTACAGATCGAGGTAGTCCAGCTGTAAATTTGTCAGTGTTTCCTGGCAAGCGGGAAGGACATCTTCAGGCGCATGGTGTCTGCACCTGAGAAAGAGATGAGGGCAATAATTTCTTTAAAGGTGCACCTCACGTTTTTGTCAGCTTATTATTTCTTTATTTTCGCATTCTACTGTCCACTTGGCTTGAATTCTTTTCTTATCCTGTTTGCACATCAGCTACATAGGCTTTGTGAGACAGTAGCCGCACTAGTACGATCGATGTTTCAGTCGCGAGCCTTGAGAACTCAGCCTAGTACACGAAGTCGAGGCTTGATGTCGAACTTCCCACAGAAAAATCTCATAGTCTCACTAGTTTTTGTTAGGAACTGTTTTTAAGTCTCGTTGCAAAATGAAGCAGTTTTCTGGTAAAAACTCATTGAAATAGGATCGAGGGAAACAAGACATGTCAAACGATGGGAGGAATTTTGCTTACCGTTTACTAATTATTTATGAGGGAAGTGCGCTCTGAGAAGGAAGGAATGTCTGAGAGCGACGCGACGAGGAAAAAGTTAACCGCGCTCCACTTAACCTACAAAATATTTGAATCTCTTCTCATGAACCTAGGATATCAATATGTGATCAAGAGGACGCATGGCTCAGTGCCTGAGAATACTTACCAGAGTTTTGATGTGATAAACACGTCCCCTCTTTTCAACTTTCCTTCTTTGAAGACTTCAGTTAAGACTACACCTATTTCATCTTCGTTATCATAAGCCCAAGCGCAGTCAATGTGTCTGTATCCATGCCGTAAGGCTAGCCTGACAGCGTTCCCGACCGTTCCTTTTTTGGACTTCCAGGTCCTTGAAGTTAATCATAAATATCGATTCAAAACCGATACTGTTAGACAACTTCCTTCCACGTCGATATAGAGTTAGGTTCTAGAAGCGATGCCACAATGGGAAGAACAATCATTGCATGTTATCTTGTGACGAAGTAGGCTATAAAGCCGGAGGTTTGGTTGGAGTTCTGTTCCGCCCTCATTTTTGAGAGCACACTGACCTACATAATTATCACTTATACAAGCTGGTGGATAGCTAGATATCGTTCAGGGGAAGACTTCAATAGTCATAAAAACTAAGCTTCTTAAAAACGTCTCTAATTACTAGTGTTTTCGAAACCTTTACTTGAGAACCTGTTCCAATCATCCTTGTTGAACCCTGGGTCGTCCTTCCTTTAGTTCAATGAACACTGGCCACCCCTGGAATTCATCTTGTGTCTCATAATAGACAATGTTTTTCAAAATATAGTAAAGTAATGTACTACTGGCCTTACCCCAAGGCAATAAAAGGCATCAGAGCTCCATTGTAAAGCTTCACTCCTTGAACAGCCGCCTGTCAAAAGACAGTAGAAAGGACTGAATTTAAACACATTTGCCCATCAGCATCCATTGAAGGAAAGATAAAGTTGGTCTCTGGCCGGGTTCTTTGGCATTACAGTCAATCGTTCTTTCGTTCGCTCTTTCACCTCTGGCGTTAACATATAGAATAATAAATATTGCAAGTGCTTACGTTTCCAAACAATTGAAATCGTGGACTCCTTCTGATATAAACGCACGAAGTAGTGAAAAACGCCAACTCATTTTTATTTTGGAGGGAATTGCCTTGATTCTTCGAATTAGCACCTCTCATCAAATAAGCGCCCCCTCTTAAATGGACCAAATGCTTGGCAGTAAGAGGTTTTCATAGAATTTCCCCTAAAGAGTATCAGATGTTTGTTAAGAAATTTCAAGAGATTCCGAAAATTATTTGATTTTTTTGTACTTAGATTTAAATAAGCGCTCTTCCTCTTCTACATCGACTCTCCCTCTCCTAACACAGTTTTTTAAGCTGTATGATCCATTTTATTTTATTTTAATTTGCCAAATTATTGCTTAGGTAAAATTGCGGTATTCGATGTGCACATAAAATAAAAGTTTTTCTCTTTAAGTTTGCAAACTCATCAGTTTTATAAAAAATAAATTTGATTACTGCTTCGTTCGCTGTTTAAACTTTATGACCAGCTTTTTCTGTTACAACACAATTCACGAGACTGCTTAGACGCAAATGATGTATTACAATCTACGATTACACTATCTGGCAAAAATTGAGATGAAAAGCCTCTGCACGATTAGCCCTCCCTCTTCCCCCCCCTCCCTCCCTCCCCTCCCCCGTCACCCACCCCACTATCGTGCTCGTGTTATCCTTTGCCGCCAATCATTTTTAAACGGGGTGTTAGGGAAGAGAGGCGTTGCGTTACATACAAACGAACTGGTGTGAGGAAGAGGCCTTTCACCCCAATATGCGGACTGCTTATCTTACTTAAAACAGAACATTTCACCAACCAAATGAATACCCACGTGAAAACACTTTTAACGCTGCATGAAAATTTAAGCGCAAACAAGGCTTAGGGTGAGTAAAAGACATCACCGTGCATTAAAAGTACCAGAAGATTTTGCTTGAGCCAACCATGCATCAAATTTTTAACGCTTGTATGCAAATTCTTATATTTTCACAAGTTAACAAGGAAAGCGAAAAATGTGTATAACCACTGGAAAAAATGGGCACGTTCAGGAGGAAAATTTTGCACAAGTAGTTTATGACGTACCGCAATTAAGGAGATACTAAACATACCAACAATTTGCGCTTGCGGAAGCCGCGCAGCTAGGATAGCAAAATTATGCGCATTGCGTGACCTCCTTGCAAGGTTCAAAAAATGCAGATGTAGAACGAATCAATCTACACATTTAACGTCATAAATCGTAAGTTAGATGAAGAAAAGAAGTCTGCAATTGTGACAGCAAGAGCTACAAATAAAACGGACAGACTCTAGATTTGTACTCTTCGCTCCTGATCGATCGTCAATCGTCACGCAAATTGCACTGATGACTCCAAAAGATCCGAATAATCAGTAGTAAGAACGAGCTGACGACACAGGCAACTTAATCATGAGATAAAGAAAGAATTCAGTTTTCCTACCATTGTGGTTAGTCACTAGATCTATTCAGTCTGACGGGATAAAGCCTGAATTACAGACGATCTCAGTGCACAAACTGCACTGGCATCTTGACAATACGAAAATTAAATATCCGCTGACAATCGGCACGCGGGCATTGTTGTAATATAAGCGACAATAATCTAATCTCTGCTATCTGGGGGTTTCGCCTCATTTCGAGTTCGCCCCTCACCACCTTTGCGAGTTCGCCCACTGAAGTGAAACAAGTTCGCCTAACCTTGACCAGTTTGACCTCACATCTTAAAACTCGTTTCATTACGACAAAATATATTCTTTTTGTTGCATCCGGTGCTGGTCTGGGCTCTAGCTCAAAGCTTCCTTTTCACGTAATTCATAACAAACAAAATGATTGAAAGAATGCTTGTCTTTTATTTGTTTATTGTGGTAATTTCTTGTTAAAGTTTACAGAGGCATACTTCGATTGAAGTATCAAGAGATTCTCCAGGAACTTTAAGAAATTGGCTCTAGCAAATGTCAGTTGAAAATTTTCAGATTTGCGACGTCAGTGGAATTTTTATTTCTCGATCGTAGGTAGACTCGCTCCTCAAGACTCGAGCCGTCGTAGCAGTAGTAGAGGTGCCTATTTTGTTTCCTCGATCCCTATTGAGTGAAAGTGATGTCATCATTCCCTCGAACATCCTTGAGGCCTATAAAAAAAAGGTGTTGTCAGTCTGGAGATACTGACGGCTCAGAAATTGGGACTCAAAGGGACCCGATTGACAGAGGTTCTGATGCGTTTTGTGCGTGTCACTTTATAAAATAAGCTCAGTTATGCACGCATTCTGATTGGTTCTCACTTATGATCTACTGGAGGACAGACGTATAGATGACGTCATTATTAAAACTTTTTTTTAATTCTTTATTATATAAAACAAATAGATTCCAAGTTGCCGTGCATCTGTTCAGTAATAAATCACAGAGGACGTCAAAATGTGGTAAGAACATTCCTCGCGCCTCGTGTGCCACTTTTTTGTTCGTACCACATTTTGACGTCATCTGTGATCTATTACTGAACAGACGCACGGCAACCTAGAATCTATTTGTTATTTAGACTGATCAGCACGCCAATTAATCCTAGCAAGGAAATAGAGTTTTTTGCCATTTGTTAAAAACGTCAATCGCGGCCTCTGGTATGACTTCCAAATAGGCGTTTTCCAAAGTAGTGGTTTGGGAGACACTTTCCTTTTTTTTCTTTTTTTGATGTCATTCGCCCTTAAACTTCACAGGAGTGGAGGTTTTCAATGAGAAAACTAGAAGGAAAAGAGGATAGAGTTCTACGGGGAATTTACTCTTTAGTTACTGTTGGTGAATTTTTTGCAATTTTCTTTATATGTATCAAATTTCGTTCCTTGCAATGATCAGTACTACAGGTAACTTTGAGGACATCAGCGTAGACTCAATTAAAGAAGAAAACAAAAACAAAAATAAATTAAAACAATTCAGTACAATTCAATGGAGTGTAATGCAATGCGATGTAAAATAATTCAATAAAATACAATACAATAACACCAGGTGGGACCATAAGGCAGGTCTCATCCGGAAAATGTAGATTTTTATAATGATAACTTGACCCAGCAATTAATCTCGCTGTTTGGAGAAAGTTCTCCTTGTTCTCTCGACCGGAAGTAAAAGGAGTCTGAAAAGGACTGACACTCGGATGTGTCAATCAAAAGTGACAATCTATGACGTAAGACGGCTGACACGAAAAAAGCCAATTGGCGACGAGTATTAGACCACGTGGGCTCGAAAGAAAACAAGGCGCGCTCTTCAAACTTTACATTTTGACAACACGTGAAAATATGGCAGACCGTTTTAATCTTCCGAAAAAAAGAAGCTTGAAATTCTTCTTCAAATTTAAAGGGTGGTGAAACCCAATAAACATTTCCTGAATTAAGAGGAATGAGGAAGACTGGTGAGTTTAAATTTTTGTTTTAAATAAGGTTTTACTTGAATAACAATGAAAAATAAAACTTTGCACATGTGCGTGTTGTACGGAGAAACCTGTAGCTCTGTTTACTCCGGGAAATTCACTTATTACGCTAAGTTTGGCTAAAACATTCTGTTAAAAATATTTAATGATAAACTACAATTTTATTTTTCGTTACAGAACTTACCAATAGAATTCTTAACTTCTTGGTTTTCTTGCGTTCGTCAAATGCAAATGTTGCAGCCGCGGAAGAGACACACGTTGCAGTGGAAACAAAGAGGTTAGTATTACTTCATTGTTGCACTTTTAAAATACCACAGTGGAATTTTAGGCAATTCAAACTCAATCTTTAAGTCTTGAGAGTAATTTACAAGAGAATTTTCTCAAAAGTGAACAAGTTTCCGGAACACCACCGGTGTCACCAGTGGTGAGTGGCTTTACGCGCGAAGAACACGTGCTGTATGTTTCAAGAACGTCTCCCATTTTTTTGCTTGCAAATTGAATTATTTCATTGATAAAAAACTTCGCTGATTAAAAGTAGATAATACTACGGCAAAATAGTCCTTTTAGCGTTATTTTTCAGTTCATGAGATGGTGAAAGTTATGCACTGGTCCCTCTCGCCGTCTTTGTTTTCAATGGTGTTGCTTGTTACTTCTTTTTTATAGGCGCCTCGTTGTCTCCTTAAACCGCGAATTTGGTAGATTTTTTGCCACCTTTAAAGTAAATCAACATCATTTTAAAGAACTCCAACAGTTTACCCCTTCCACAAAAAAAACAAAATTACGGCAGGATTTCCACATGCCCCATACTTAACTACACATACAGTTCTTGAATAAAGAAAACATTAGCGAAAACGATAGATTCCTCTTTGGGGACTATGGCTTTGTTTCAGGATAGCATGGGTTTATACGTTAACCTTCCGGAAGAACATTTGCGAAAAAATAAAATTCTTTTTTTAAATCAGTCATCAGATTGCAAAGGTATTCAAACGGGAAGCAACTCTTTTTCTTTAATTGCGCTTCCCTCTACAGTTTTCCTCCTTTTTTCTGTTTAATTTTTTTGGAAATAGGAGCATTCAAACGAGTCAGTTCCTCATTAATCAACTTACGTAGGTTAAAACTGCGTTTCACAACTTCACTAAAAACTCGCGTTGTCTAGCGGAGTAAGCAAATGTTCCTGCGCTTGCTAAGATATTTACTGTTACTCTTTGAGGTTTGCTCTGGTCTTATCTACACTCTACGCATGGCTCCATTTTAGTTTCTAGGATGTTTCAACAGATTCCGTTATTGAGTTGCCTGTCTATCATTCGTTCATTAATGTATGCAATCAGTCCCTTTGTGTATCATTCATTTACCCATTCATCCTTCCATTCT